TTCCTCTCCTGGGCACCTTAGCAGATTCTTCTCCTACCTTTCCCCCTGGGGTACATCTCTGCAGTATCCATCTATTTCTGACCCTTACCAGTTGCATCCAATAGTTAACTCCACACATCTTCTTTTGGTGCTCCTCTCTCCCTTTCAGGCAGTTCTCAAGGGTAGAGAGTTACAAGGATGCACTTCCCACTTACTTTCTGTGGCCCACTTAGTTCCTAGGTAAAATATCGGTGCCAATTCCTGGACAGATCAACCACTACCACCCCAGCCTCACTCTTCCCTCAGTCTCCAAGCAGCTCCAGCCCATCTGACTTTAGACTTCTCTAAGTAAGACACTGCCACTGGTTGCCATGGTTTCCAAAAGCCAGCATACACACATCAGCCTCTCTGCTGGAAGGTCAGTTGAAGGTCATTTCTTCACCTTATAACTATTTCACAGGCAGGAAGGCCCAGAGAGGGCAAGGGACTTTACCAAGGCTACCAAGCTTATTCCTGGCAGAAGGGAACTGGGACCAAAACCCAGACCTCTTCCTCCAAGGCTAGAGGTCTAGCTGTCCTCTGATATGTTTCATATTCTGAAATTCCATGTAAAGGTTCTGCAGCCTTTTAAATGGACCTTCTGGTGGGGAAGGGAGCGGCATGCCCAAGTGGGGACATAGTCATTTTTCCAGCCTGGTACAGCTGGGGAAAGGCTAGTGAGGATGATGGAACAAGCAGAGACGGAGCAGGGCCTGGGGACCTACGCTTTGCTGAACATTCACTGAACTTGGGGCTTTGAAGAGAGGTGAGGGAATGGGAGGTGAAGAGCCAAGATCTTGGTCTAGGAGAGCTGGGTTTGTTGATACAACTGTGCCTTGCAGGTTCCTGGGCAGATTAGGTAACCTCTCTGGGTTCCTTTGTCCTCAGTTATTAATTGGGGGTAATCATCCTTAGCTCAGTACCTGCCTCAGGGCAAGCTCTAATCACTATTCTCATCTACACATGGTAATTTCATTGGCTTATCAGATCAACCCTAGGTGGTAGGAACAATTAGGCCCATTTTTACAGAGAGAGTAGAAGTTGAGGACAACCAGGGTCACAGGATGGGGTGTGAACTTATATTTACTCTGCTGAACTCTGTCCATTCTCTCAGACCAGGCCTGGGCACCTTGCTTGACTTGGCAGTCATAGTATGTCCTGATGAGGCTGTGTCCTAGAGGGGTCACTATCAAGACTGGGAGAGAGGTTGGCCTCTGCCCCCTACTTCCTCAATGAAACCAGGTCCCAAGAAGGGAAGTGGCTAACTCAGGGTCTTGGTCCCCAAAGCCACCAAAGGTGATATGGGCAAGAAAAGAAGGAAGTGATGGTGGGTACAGAAAATCCTTCTCTACCCATCCAGCAGGGATGTAGCAGAGCCACAGCCAGCTTGCAGGCCTGGACAATGGTTCACACCCAGATCGACCCAGAGTGGGAAGCACGTGGGCTGTCCCTGGGCAGAACAGGACATGGCAGGCATTCCCCACCCTGCCTTCAGGCTGAGTCAGGAAATGCTTCCTCTAACCCAGAGCTTTCTTGGGTGCCTCCTCCTGAAACCTCGTGGGGTAGCCTGCAGTCCCGCCCTGGTCCCTCCATGGTGAAAGTGAGGCCCAGAGTGTCCCCCAGCATACGTAGAAAGACATGAAGTCTCTCATCTGCTTTGACCAAGGCTCTCAAAGGAGGGAACTGCATCTGATGGCCACCTGGCACCCTTCCCCAGGGTAGGTTACACTAGATGTCATATTGTGGGAGCTTCTGGCTGCTTGCTATCTGTCAATACTTAGTCTGCAGAGCCAGCACAGCCCTTCTCCAAGGCAGCATTCCTCTAGCCCATCCTGGGCACAGAGCTGGCCTCTGTGCATCCATGGTGACTGGAATGATAGCCTGAAATACAGCTTTGATTTGAGGTGGAGAGAATTTGAATACTCATTTTCAAAAGTTATTTTTTATTCTTTGTTGATGTTTCAAAATAAAACAAACAAACCCCCCCCCCCCAGAAAAGAAATCAGTTGATAGGATGTCTATTGAATGACTGGTGTAGATATGTGGCTTTGGGAACAGGCCAACCTGAGTTCATATCCCAGATTCTGACCTTTACCAAGTGAATGACCTTGGGCCTCCTCATCACCACTGTTACCTCCTTTGGTATGTGTCTTCAATTAGATACTGGCTGTGATGTTCTTGGTGCACTGTGTGGCAGGCAGACTCCAGAAATGGCAATTTCACAATTGGCAAAACCATGGTCAGGTTTCAGGTGACTGAGACATTGCATGGACAGAAAGAGGTGAGAGGCCCTCCTTCTGGTAGCTTCAGCATTGTGGAAATGTCAGCCTGAGACCATAAATGAGGGGGACCAACAGGGAACTCTCGGTACTTAGAGGGTGAAGCTGAGTGGGTGCAGGAAAAGAAAGCCAGGGTGGGAACTAAAGGGGGTGATCTAGTGCTGGGTCTTGAACTGTGGACCTGTAGGACCAATGGATCAACTGATTGAATGATTGGTTCATTCATTTCCTCAACAGCATACTGAGGTTGACTCTGCCCAGGTCTGAGCAATGAGTCAGAACTCACCCCCTTTAGGAGGTGGCTGAGCGGAGGGTGCAGTCTGCAGGAACTTGCAGCTCTTGGGGAGTCAGGCACTTCCTCAGAACAGACTAGTCACTTATGACATTAGCTCATTCAGCTGTAGCCCCTGCTAACACTGCCATGGCTTTAAGCAGAGGCTGAGTAAGATTCTTGAGCTTGTGGCACTTTGGGGACATGAGCTCCTGGAGAACCAGCCTGCAGGGCCCCATGCTGTCTTCTGCCTCCTCCACAAAAGCCAATATAGGTTTGGTTTTATTTCTCTTTCTAATCTGGGGGTCTCAATAGAGACAGAGGGGTTCCCCTGGAGAATCACACTGGGCATGGGGCTGGCAGGGAAGAGGAGAGTGTCCTGCTGTAGGGCTGGACTCCAAGAGAGTTCCCTGCACAGCTCCCTGCCATCTCTCCCAGAGGTATCATGGAGTAATAATCAGTCTCCTTGTCCTACCTCTGCCTCTGTGACCTCAGTCAGGCCCTTCCTTTCTTTGGACCTCAGTTTCCCCAAGGACTGGGAGGACATTGGGCAAGACGCTTCCCTTCTGGTGATCTGTGGAATTCAAACCTGAATGCTGATGTCCAGATTAGAGTGACCTCCTCATGGGGAGCCTGTAGGAGGCTGGGACTCCAGATTGATTTTTCTTCTGCCCCATAGGTCCAGATGGAAGGCAAAGGCTGAGGGGCAGGAAGCCACAGTCTGCTGGCTGGTTAGTGGGCAAGTGGCTGCCCACAAAAGCCAGAGAAATGGAATTCTGGCCTAGTCTAGCCCAGAAACACCAGCCTGGACACTGAGGCTGACCCTGGCCCCAGAACAGGACTGCAGAGGGCTTGTGGGGGTGGGGGGGAACCTTCTTTCTGCTGGGGCCTTGAGTGGTCAACCAGGACCCAGACACCCTGCCTGTCACCCTGTGGGCAGTGGAGCCTGGGCCTAAGTAATTTCTAGGAATGCTTGTGGGGAAAAGAGTGAGCTAGGGTCCTAAGCATACTACAGACCTGAGGACCCCACTATTATGAGTTTGCTGAGTATGGGCTGAATCTGACATAGGGCCAGGTTGGGTAATTGTTGACATCCCTGCCCTTTCTGACTCTCCTCAGGAGCACTGCCTGCTTTTGACTTTAAGATAGTTAGACTTGCCACCCCCAAGTGTGTGTGGCCTTGTGAAAGTGTCCCTGATTCTCTGAGCTCTGAGAGATGGATGGGGTTATGGTGTACGAGATCAGAGAAATGGGGGTTCTTTTCCCCATTCTCTGAGGCTATTTTGGGGTCTGTGGAGAAGGAAAAGAAGACACTATTTGCCAAATCTCAGGGCTTGCCCTGTTTTGCAGTTGCCTGGCCAAGAGCTCTCAAGGGTTTGGGTCTCTACCTTAAAGACAGACATGGAGGCCAGAGACACAAAAACCTCTGCTCTCAGTATGACATTTCACTACCTCCTCCCAAACAGAGCTTCCTCCCCTGGCAGTCAGATGCCCAGATGGTTTTGAGGGGGCAACCTGACCCAGGACCCACTCTCTAGGCCTGGAGATACCTTAGGAGATCCTCTGTCACCTCAGAGTCTTTGAGTATGACACCCTCCCAACTTTCCACACCCAAATCAGAGTCCACTGCAGGGATAAGAACAGAGAACCAGATAGCTCAAGAACACCCAGCAGGTGCCAGGCAAGAAGCAGAGAAACAACTGTGTTCTGGATTCTTCAATATGCCTTTCCCCCCACTGCCCTGGTTAAGTGGGCCTTGGGCGTATCAGGTGTCCTAGGTGTGTGCTAGATATGCCCTAAGTGTCCTAGATGTCAGAGGTGTCCTACCTGCATTCTACAGTTCTACATATATGTCAGGGTGTGCCCAGTCCTGACTGAAGTCACCCTTAAAGCCCACCTCACTGGGCACAAGAGGATTACCTGAGCACATGCAGAGAGCCCATACAGTGCAGAGCCCATGGAGTGTAGAGGTGAAGAGCATGGATTTGACCTGGACAGCTTTCAAGCTGTGTCACTCTGGTCATACTTCACATGTCTGTGGCTCAGTTTTCATACTTACACAGCTGAGATAATAAGGTTATTGAAACAGTGATAGGAGCAAGCAGTGCTGAGCACCCTGTAAAGGCTGTCATCACAGGGTCGTGGTGGTGGCCTTTCTCATGGCTGTCTTGTACTGGAGAGTTGATGTTTCCTGGACTATAAACTCTGATGCCAGGTAAGTCTCACTTACGCACGTGGCACCTCCACTGATGGGGTGAGAAGGACCTCCTGTGAGCCTGTGTGAAACCAGGCTCCTGAATCTTAAGAGCTTGCCTTTGAATGAGGGAGATGGAGGCAGATGGAGAGGTGGCCAGATGGGTACTTGCCAGGTTGTGCTCCCACCCAGAACTGCCCAGTGTGGTTCTCACACATCCTTCTGTCCTGTGTGACAGTGCAGGGACTTCACAGCCCACACGGGCTATGAGGTGCTGCTGCAGAGGCTGCTGGATGGCAGGAAGATGTGCAAGGACCTGGAGGAGCTGCTGAGGCAGAGGTAAGCACCCACAGGGTGGGTGAGGCTGGAGAGGAAGGGAGGCCACAGTCCCCCAACCCCCAGCTCTGGAAGGTGGCTGAAGCTGCCCATCCTAGCCAACCTGCTGTCAGAGCAACCCCTGCTCTAAAAAGTCATGAGTGTGGCTCTGCTGTATTTCCCCAGATGTGAGCCTCCCCCAGGTGAGAAAATAATCTGATGTCCCTTCAAAGGTATCTGTATTTGGCCAACATTTATTTAAAAGAAGGGATGGGGGGCTTAACTTTCTCAAAGAAGAGCCTGAAAGGTCATCTTGCCACCCCCTGCCAGATGCTGACAGGGTGGCTTCCCAGGTCCTGTCACAGACTTTTGAAGGACCTTCAGACATCTGAGGTAGCTACAGCCAACAGAACTGGAAGATACACAGTGCCCTGCTTTGTTTGTGCAGGGCCCAAGCAGAGGAGCGCTATGGGAAGGAGCTGGTGCAGATTGCCCGGAAAGCAGGCGGCCAGACGGAGATCAAGTAAGAGGTCTCAGGCCCTGGGCTTCCTCCTCCTTTGCAAAGCACTTTCTGGACATTTAGACAGGGTTTAGGATGGACAGGGGAGGGCCAGGGGGGGTCTGGATGGCCCCCAAGGCCAGGGTGCCTGGAAGACAACTCTCTTGCTTATTGAGAGCTCAAGTTCTGTGTATGGGAGAAAATCCAGGAATCAGAGTGGCCGGAAGGCCCTGGGCAGGGGAAAGAGACCATCTGACCCCAGACACTTGCAGTACAGCCCATACAACCTGGACAGTCTTCCCCAAAGTCCTGAGAGGCAGGTGACAGGCCCTCCACTCACTGCCGAGCCCCCTGCAGCATTGGCTCAGCCTTGGCTGCAAGGTGAGGACACATGTGAATTCTAGTACCAGCTCTTCACCCACCAGCTGTGTGATCTTGAGCTGGTCACTGACACTCTTGTGCCTTTGTTTCCTCATCAGTGAGGCAGGATAATAATGCAACCTTCCTCAAAAGATTAAAGGAATCCAGGGGCTCAACTTCAGCCTGGCTGGGAGGAGAGTCAGTAAGGGCAGCTGCTGCTGTGGAGCAGCCTGGCATCTTGAGCCCAGAGGCCTGCATCTGTGTGCAGACTGCTGGGCAGGGAGCAGCTGAAGAGTGACAGTTAAGGAGGGCTGAAGGAGAACTTTCTAACAGTGGAGTGGAGCGGCTGCCTTGGGAAGGTGTGGACTCCCCCGTGGGTGAGGACCGAGCCAGCCTGAGAGGCAGACAAGGCGCTGGAGTCCAAGTTCTAAAAGGGCTCTGATGAGTCCTTTTCCTCCTACCCAGAACCCCCACGACCTGACCCCAGCCAGCAGCTGCCATAGCAACCCCTGACTCTCGCCCCTGCTACCTTGATGGTCAAGCCTGTGATTGTCTGGCTCTGCCCAAGGAAAATGTCCCCAAAACCTGTCAGCTCCAAAGCCTGGAACCAAGCCCCCTCATTTCAAGTGCACTGAACACTTTCTAGGTTTTCTAAAAATCCACGGGACCCTGGCTGGTTCCCACTTCCAGCCTGGAGCCTGAGAAAACTTGGAAATAGATAAAGGAAGGTTTTAAAATGGTATGAACCAGGGGAGATGAATTCTCAACCCATGTATTGGACCAAAAAGCAAGAATATAGAGTAAGAATTCATGAGCTCTAATTCCCACTCAACCTTTGTGTGCTGTGTGACTGTGGGTAGGTCACTTAACCTGTCTGAGTTTGGTTGTTATCTGCCCACTCCAGCAAACTTCTGTGCAGATCAACAGAAACATGGGCTGAGGGCCTTCCAGGGGCAGGGCCAAAGCTGGGCACGGGATCGGTGCCGGGGAGGGCTCAGGACATGAGGAAGAATGAGTAGACTCTGTTGGGGCTCTTTTTTGTCTGCCCCAGTTGAAGGAGCCTGATCAGGGAGGAGCCCCTGCCTGCCGCTTGCCCTCTAAGACCAGCTGAAAGAGAAAAAATTTACCAGAAAGAGAGACGACTTCCTTCAGGAAGCTGGAGAGGGTGCTCCAGGCAGGGTCATAATGGAAGCCCAGGCTAAGGGGCTGTGAGTCACAGAAGACTAAAAATAGGGAGAAGCAGCCACTAAGGAACAACATAAATTGGAAGAGGAGCCACAGGGGCAGTTGGAAGGGTAGGGAGGTACGCAGTGTCTTGTTCAGTTTTTAAAACTATAAAGTGACCAGGGCAACATTCTGAGCAACCCTGATCCCTTGCATGGTCATAGGAGGCTGAGTGAGGCAACATCTGCCTTGCTTTCTTTACTGTGTGACCTGGGATGGCCACTCCCTCTCTCTGGGTCCTGGGTTTCTTGACTTTGAAAGGGGACAGTCACTTTCAAGTTTGCTCTGGGCAGCCACAATGTTGAGCAGGCGGCAACCCATGAGGATGTTTAATAAACATGGAGGCCTCTCCATAGATCAGATAATTGGTGTCATCCTGCTTAACTTGGAGCTGGGAAGCCTGACTGGGCAGTCTCAACCACTGTCTTTGGGGCCCAGCCCCTCTGGCCCAGAAGGCTGGAAACTGTGAGGGCCTGGATGAGCAGCCTTCATCCAACATGGGAGCCCCAGGCTGGGGTGGGAAGCAGAATCTGGGTCTGTCTTGCTGCCTACCTAGACAAGCTGGAGCCTGGGCTGTGTGTACCTAACCTGAAGTAGGAGAGACAGAAACAAAGCCTACAGGGACCTCTGCACCTCAGAGTGGAGGTTCCAGAGCAGGCTGGGAGTCCTGTGTGTGAACCAGCACTGCCTTGAGCTCCCCATCCACCTGGGGCAACCGAAGAGCAGGGCAGAGTGGGATAGAGTGGGGAGCTCATCTCCTGGGAGAGCCAGCGACAGAGGGAAGGTGCCTTTCTGCCAGAGGACTAGAAAGGGCAAAAGCTGAAGATGGGAAAGTGCAGGGTACATTCAGAGCCAGGGAGTGACAGAGGCAGGAGTGGTACCATCTCAGCTCACTTGCTGTCTCTCTTAGAGCCACGCTCCATGCAGCTCCCGGCACACAGTAAGTACTTAATAAGTGTTACTGTATGTAATCCATGCAGCATGTACCAGGGTTAGTGAGACCATTCAGTTATTTCTTTCTTTAACTGTGGGCCAGCCACCCATCACACATCCATTTTTTCAGCAAGCATGTATGAAGCACCTACCATGTGCCATGGCTGACACTGAGTCAGGAGGATTTAAAAATAAAACAAAGGGCCCCATCATCCTGAGGCCAATGTCTAGCACCTTGTGGGTGTTTTAATCCTCCTTCTGTTTAGTGCCCTTTTATGCCCATCGCCTTTGGGAAGCTCTTCCAGATACTCTAGCTTTCCCTGTCACTTTTGACTTAGACCAGGTCACCCCATTCCCACACCAACTTAGAGGGCTCTTTGTGGGAAGAATTAATGACAGCCTGGGTCACTTCTGTGTTCCAGACACTTGTTGGGATGTGTTTAGGGCTGACCCCTCGGGGAAAGCTGGCCTAACAGTTCAGCATGGAGACTGGCACTTTCTTTTGCAGGGCCCATCCCCTGGTGGGGTAAGCCACCACCCTCCTCATGGCCATGATCCCCAGGCCCCATAGGAAGCTCATTCTCAGAGCTTTGGAGTGCAGGCAAAGGGCTGGTGGTGCACTGGCTGGGTATGGCCAAGAAAGAAAGAAAAAACCAGGGAGTTAACTGACCCCAGAAATAGCCCAGCGAGAACCAAAAGAGCAGAGCTTGTCGGCCTCCCTCGCCTCCGCTGCCTGACGATGTAGCATTTCTGCATCAACTCTGACTTCACACTGGCCAGAAACCTCACTGGAGCCTGGAGGCTCAGCCACATACATTAAAGGGAGGTTATTCCCATCTTCAAGTGATTTTTCTCATTCACTTCCTTCACACATTAACTGAGCCAGCATCCACTGGACAGTGGCAACAGAGAATGCACAAATATGTCCTGGCCTACATTCAAGACATCCCCGCAGGGCCTCTGCATGCATTTTAAAGATAGCATTAGGAAGGCAAAGGGGTGTATCTCTATTGCTTAAACTACACATCCAGCCCTGCAGAAAGCTCTTCCTGACTCTCCCTTCCAACCTCTAGGCCTTTGATCTGACTCTTTCCCCCGAGTTCTCCCCTACAAAGTCCTACATGTGCTTCAAGCTCTGGTTGAAGTATCACCTCCCCTGAAGTCACCTCCTTCCCCTCTTGCTCATCCTGGGGTGTTGGGCCTGTGCTCCTAGAAGCTTCACAGGGCAGGGGTTTGGGAAATGAAGGGAAAGTGAGGTCGGCAGGGCAGGGACCAATTTCCCATAAGGTCTGTCTGTGGTCACCTCAAGTAAGGACAGCCCGGATGGGAGATGGACCTAAATTTGTAATTATACTCTCATGACCCAACCTCACTCCCACTTGCCATAGCTTAAAGTGCTAAGGTTTTCCCATTAGAAGAGAACTTTGGGGTTTTTTTCTTTTTCATAACTTATCTTCCTCCAAGCTCAGAGAGTGAATACATCACTGAGGATGTTTCAGGGAGACAGGTAGCCCTGTTACTGGAAGGGGTCCTCTGACACCAGCTCCCTGCAGGCCCAGCCTCCAGCACAGGGAGCTGAGAGGAGCTGCTCCAGTCAGCTGGGAGGCAGCAGTCTCCTGGAGAGCAGGTGGGCAGGAGGTAGGGAGGCCAAAGGAGGGACCTGAGATGGTGCATGCCACATGTTGGGGAGGGTACAAAAGAAGGTATTTACACTGGAAATGTAGGCTGCAGAATATTAGGCTGAGCATCCTGAGAGCCAAGTTTAAACGGGCAACTGGAGGAGATACACACAAGGACACCAGCAACTGATAGCAGGGGGTACAAATCTGCATGGGGTCCCTGTCCTTGACATGCAATGGAGATACAACAGAGGAGAGCACAAGGAGATAGTAGTAATAGCTTCCCTGAATGGCAAGGGGGAAAACCTAAGGAACGATAGGAAGGCTAAGAGAAACCATCTTTACTGGGTCTCATGGGGGCAGAGAAAGACATCAAATGATCCCCAAATCCTCCGCAAGATCAGAATTTAAGGCCACTCTCCTGAGGAGAGTCTGCCAACCCACAGTGGGCTGCCTCTGGTCCCAGGAAAAGTTTAGGTCCTCTTCTCACCAGCTGAGGCTATCTCCTTGAAAATCTGGGTCCGAGAGAGAGGCGGCATCCTGTGTCTTGTTGTGTGAGTGGAACTGTGATGGTCTGATGGTATCAGTGCTGGGAATAGGGCTGGGGCAGGAAGGTCTGGAGCCCAGAGGTGAGCAGATGGCAGACCTGGAGTAGTCGGAACCTGCACTGCTTCCTGAGTGTCCCAGGCACAACAAGCACTTTCATCTGTGCAGCCCCCAAGGCCCAGTAAGCTGGTGGGGTAAAGGAGAGCCCAAGGTATGCATGGACTTTGTCACCATCAGGACTGTCCCAGGGTGGGTGCAGAAACTGAATGTCCATCTGGCAGTGCTGTGGGTTCAGGAAGAGGCTTTAAGCATCCAGTAAGGGTGGACAGAAGGGCCAGATGCTCCTGCAAGCCTGGGAGGGAGGGCCACAGAGAGAGGGGCACAGGTGGGTTTGGAGTTGAGGAAAGCCTTGGTATTTATGAGTGCTGAGTTTATTCTTCTGAGCTATATGCCTGGGAACAATAGGAAGGGGAATGAGGTACCATACCTTGCTCCTGTTTAGTGGGCTCATAGTTCAGCGAGGTGGCAGACACTCAATGCATCAGCCCAAGGTGACAACAGGGAAAAGTGGTCAGAAGGGACAGACGAAGAAGCTAGGCAAAGACACTGCACATAGGAAGTTAGCATGTGCAAAGGCCCTCGGGCAAGAAGGAACATAGCATCTAGAAGGAACTAGAGGATGGCCAGGTGACTGAGAGGGCAGAGAACAGGGTTAACAGGTGGAAAGCTGATAGGATGGGGGTGATGGAGCAAGGACTAGGGTGGTGGCAATGAGAGATGGGCTAATTGGAGATTTAGAAGGTAGAAAAAAGAAGGTAGTATAGAAGGAAGGAGAAGGTAGAGTCAAGGTCAGACTCGCATTCTGATGTGGATAGCCAAGCAGATGGGGGTGCCTTTGCTGATAAGGGAGTCCTGCAGGAGTAGGTTTGTGGGGCATTGAGTCCAGTTTTGTACACTCTGAGTTTAAGGTGCTTGTGAGATGTTAGATCCAAAAGGAGGCAAGGATGAGGCAGTGGATGTGCAGATCCTGAGGATGTGGTCTTGAAGGAGTTGCAAATCCACAGGTAGTATGAGCAAGAGCTGGGGTAGAGAGGAGAGGCCATGCTGAGCCTAGAGAGGCCCTAACCATGAATGGGGAGACTGAGGCAGGAAAAAGTGTGGGCAGATAGAGAGGGACTGGAGGTATAACTGCTGGCAAGGTGTCAATTCTGTTAGGGAAGAGTCCTGCCACTCCCCAACCAGGGCAGTGCTTCAGTCACTCTTCTCCTTCCTCTGGACAGAAACAGAGGGCAGCATTGACCAGTCTCACCCAGCACCACCTCTCCTAGTAGTGTGGCCCTGGGTCAGTTTCTTCAACTCTCTGACCCTGATCTTTCTCACCTGTAAAAGAACAGAGTTGAGAGGATGGAATAATTTAGGCCAGCAGCCCTCACATCTGAATGGACATTAGCAGCATAGAAGCTAACGCAGTGTGCTGGGCCCCGGTGAGTTTCTGCTTCAGGACCAGTGTGAGCTTGAGAGTCTGCGTTTCCAACAAACTCCCAGATGACACTGCTGCTGCTGGTGTGCAGACCACACTTGAAAATCCACTTAGTTTAGGGCAAGGGGTCTGGCACTGACTAAACCCCGACAGTTCTCATCTAGGCCTGGATCCCTGTGGATCCTGCCCGGCTGTTGCTCCAGCTTGGCTTTAGTTTCCCTAACTGCCCAATGGGAAGAAAGAGTCCCCTGGAAGCCTGCCTTGCACGGATTGCTAGGGGATGCGGCAACAAGGCTGAAGGCCAAGGCTGTTTAGAGCAGGCGCTATGCTGCCATGTGGCCACCAGGGGGCCGGTGCGCTGCTCCGCAGAGAGGCTGTGAGGGGCGCGGACAACCGTGGAGAGCCTGCTCAGGCACCCTGGGGAGTCGAGAGCCACAGCGGATTTTGCCTCCTTGGCTGCAAACACAGGCAGTTAATTTTACCCTTGAGAGTGGGCAAGCTCTTAGGTGGGCCATTGGAGGTACAGCTCAGGTCAGCTTCAGGGTCCCAGAGGACCCCCAGGATTGGTGGGATGCACAGATCTGGGCTCAGGAAAGAGTTGCACAACAACCACGTCCCAACAAAGGTGTTTTATGCATATAAATTCATTTAATCCTCACAACCATCCTGTTTGTGCTATTAATATCCCCATTTTACAAAAGGGGAACTGAGACACATAGTAGGTAACTTGCCCAAGGTCACACAGAGAGTGAGTGGCAGAGCCTGGACTGAACCCAGGCTCTCTGGCTCAGGGTCTGCATGTGGGAGTCCAGACAGGAGCCCCCACCCAGCTCCTGCTGGTGTCCCACGCTAGGATTCCAAATCACCTCTGTCCTGTGCAGGACCTAAAGCTCACCCTCTGAGAGGTCCCTGTCTCTGAGGCAGATGAGCTGGGAAAAGGCACTTTTCCCACAGGTCCTGTTACTGATCCAAAGAGCACTCTGCCTTCTGGTGCCCCGTTACCTATCAGCAGATAAGACTGGGTCTTGGCTGGGCTCCCGCACCTTTGCTCAGGCCTCAACTTGGTCCGCCGTGGCTCTAGGGAAGAGTCCTCTTTCAGGCTGCCATATAAAATACAGAATGCCCAGTTAAATTTGCATTTTGGATAAACAACAAATGCTTTTTCAATGTAAGTGTGTTCAAATATTAATGGGGGATGCTTATACTCAAAAAGTATTATGTGTTTAATTAATCTAGAATTCAAATTTAACTGGTGACCTGTATTTTTATTTGCTCCATCTGGCAACCCTGACAAGGGGGCCCTTCCCCCTATCTCCATGCCAACTCCAGCCTCTTCCTTCCCGCTCTCCCTCAGGCCCACCCAAGAGCACACAGTGTCGCATCTCTGCTCCAGAATGGCCACCCTACTGCCTCATGACTCAGTAGAGCTCAGCACACCATAAAGTAAACTCCCCATCTTCCCTCCTGAGTCTCCCTCAGAGATGTCACCACCATACACCCAGCCACCCCCGCCGGGTGCCAGGGATAGCCTCTCATTATCCTCACCTATACATCCTGTTCTCCCCGTCCTAAGGCTCCCACATTTCTCCCCTTCTGCAACCTTTCCATGCTTGCCCCCTACCATCCAGCTTCTGCTAAAATATCCACCAGGCCACCTGCCTAAATCCAGGTCTGAACCCTGCCTTCTCCTACCTCAGCCAGGGAAAGGACTCCAAGGAGAGAGGACATGCAGAAGCCAGGATCATCCTACCACAGTGGAGAGGCTTGATTGCTTTAAAGTTTCCAACTAATGCTTTGCCTTTTAGAAATCTCAGCTCCATTGAGTCTAGGTCAGTGTAGGTGAGTGACCCAGGGCCTTCCTGCCAAAATAAAAGTCCCAGGGGACAGGTAGGACTTCAAGTTCCACTGTGCTGTCCTCCTGCTGATGCTGACCCCTCTGTTTTGCAGCTCCCTGAGGGCCTCCTTTGACTCCCTGAAGCAGCGTAAGTCCCAGCTGTCCCCTACCCCAGGCTGTAGGGTGATAGGACCTTCTGGGAACATAGACAGAGGTGGATGGATTCTGGCCAAGCGAAATTTCAGACTGCACACAGGCCTGTGGCATTAGTGGAGGATTTGGAACAACAGAGACTGGCCTTGTTGGAGTGAGTGTGTGGGTGACAGGCTTATTGGGTCTGACATGGGAGGTCAATGTCCATACTCTGCCCTCAGAAATCGAGGACGTGGGCAGCTCCCACATACAGCTGGCCCTAGCCCTGCGTGAGGAGCTCCGCAGCCTCGAGGAGTTCCGAGAGAGGCAGAAGGAGCAGAGGAAAAAGGTGAGGCGGTGTGCTCCCCTATCATCAAGTGGGAGGTGGCCATCTTCATTGTGGAGGTGGTGGCAGATGGACCCTCCTGACAGAGCCCAAGGAGGCTTGGGGACAGCACCCCAGGCTTGGGGGTGATGCTAATTTGAAGAAGGAAGGGAAGGGCTCAGCTCACAGGCTTGGGATCCTCCTTGAGGCTCTTTCCCTGAGCTGTCTCATGCCAAAAAGAGCAGAAGATGAGACTTGTTGACCATCCTACCACAGCAGGCTGCAGAGGGACAGTGAAAGCTTGGGGTTATCCAAAGAAGGCAAACTAAATTGGGGAATCACCAAAAACTGGTCCTGAGCCCAAGGACCCAAGTTGCTTGTCTGGGAGAAAGGCAGACTGAGAGTCAGTCACTGGCCACTCTGCAGGGGTGTCCAAGGTGGAGGCAAAGAGAGCCTGCAGGGAGTATGTGGTGTCATGCTTACCTCATCAACCAAAGATATTTCTCACCTATGTGTAGGACACAGCTTCATCTTTAGATGTATGGAAAGGAAATGAGGCTCCCACCATGGGAGCTGTACAAACAGAGATTGAGGGCTACGTGTCAGGAAAGCTGCAGTGGGGAGGTGGGAGGTGGGCTTTGTGACTACTGTGTCCTAGGGCCCCATCCCAAGCCTGAGACTGATTGGCTGAGCATTTGGCCCACTGGGAGGACAGGTGTGGACACATGCTTAGCCTCTAGGGTTTTAGTGATGAGGGCGGCGCCCTGGACAAGGAGAGAGAGGCCAGCAGACAGAAACACTTCTTACGTGGAGAATATCCAAAGAATTGAAAATGGAAAAGTCCATGCAACAGAGCTGTGAAGGGGAAGAAGATGCCAGCTCATTGCTGGGGCCAGGCTGAGCTTGCATGTCCTGAGCAAATGCTTCCCTCACTATGTCTCAGTTGAAAGATGGGACACTTATGTCCACTTCCTAAGCTTTGAGGACCCAGTACAGAACCAGGCTCCCAACTGTCTTAACAGAAAAGGCACTGGCTCCAATTAGTGGCTCTTACCACAGAAATTCAGTGTGACTGTACCCTCAGTCTGTCCATCTGGCCAGCCAGGGTCTCAGGTTTTTGAGATTCTAAATTTGGGTTCCTGAGCAGACAGTGGGTCCCCCAAAGCTAGCTCCAGAAGCTTGCCCAGACTTGAGGTGCTGCAGGAGCTGATCTCTCTGAGCAGGGACTTGTCTGTAGAGTGTGCAATCATCTGCTCAGACAGCGAGGCCCCAGGCTGGCTATTTTAAGCTCTCCTATGGCCAGAGGAACTGTATGTCTGCAAAAGTTGTTTTGGACAGAGCAACACCTTCCCCAGACCTGCCATCACCTTCACAAGTAGAGAGCTGTGATGTAGTGTGTGGGGACACCTGCCTGGGCACATCTGTGCATGTGTGTATGTGTATGTGGGGGAGGATATGAGCACACATGTGCACACCTATGAGCATGTGTGTGTGTCTTGGTGTGTTTGTGTTCCTATGGGAACAGACCTGTGTCTGTACACAGGGAACATGGGAGTGTGCTAATGTATACTTTTGCTTGGTGTCTATGGACACTCTGGGAGTGTTTGCATGAAGGCCTGTATGTTCAAGTGGGAGCAGTGGGAGCATAGGGGCCTGTTAGTGTGTACTTCTGTATGTGTGTTATGTCATGTGGAACTTTGTGTGTATGTGTGTGTCTAAGTGTGTACACAGTATATGACAGCTGTGAGTGGGTACAGAGGCATGAGTGAGGACTCTGTGTGTGTGTGTGCGCGTGTACATATACATTGGATATTCTCTGGCTAGAGACCAAGTCCTGGCTGCAGGCTGCAGCCAATGAGAGGACACATGTGCCCTGAGCTTCTCTAGCTTTCTATTCTGAGCAGTACTTGTGAAAGAGCAAGCTGTGGGAGAGGGAGAGCATCTTGTGGCTACCGCTTCAGAGCTGGGAGGATGCTACACCTCATCCCAGGGAAACCCCATCCTCTTGGCCTAGGGGGAGTGTCCAGAGGCCACAGCTCCCCTCTAAGAGCCTCATGTCCCCTGCAGTACGAGGCTGTCATGGACCGTGTCCAGAAGAGCAAGCTGTCACTCTACAAGAAGACCATGGAGGTGGGTGCAAGGCTCTTAGGCCTTGAGGAATGCAGACAAGGTGTGAAGCTCAGGAGACCTGGGATGGGCACCTGGGACAGGGAGGCCTCAGATCTTTACCCAGTTACATGCACATTGGCCTGTTACATGCTCAGGGGTGCACTGGGGACTCTCGACTGTTGGACAGGTAGTCAGTCCCAGACAATGGCCCACAGGGTGATCTGTGCTGTCAGCTGCAGACTCTAAGAATGGAGGGAAAAGAGATACCTGAGCTTTGTCCCCTAGGACCCTGGGTGAGGAGAAAAAGACTGCACAAGAAGCTAGCATCTTGAGGATGCATGGTATTTTCAGGGACTTGCTGGTGGTTTAATGTGACCTCTTCTCTGAAGAGGTCAGGGCTTTGGGCAGGGTTACAATGTCCCCAAAGGCAATGGGGCTGGGAACAATTCTCCTTCACCATTATGGACTTCCATATCCCTGTCCCTGGTGAGGAGGCCCCTACTCTATCCACATCTCTCAACAGAAAAAAGGGAGGCTGAGTTCAGGGAGTCTCACTCTGGGCCCCCACAAGTCACACCCTTCCACATCCCCAGTCTAAGAAGACATATGAGCAGAAGTGCCGGGATGCTGACGATGCCGAGCAAGCCTTCGAACGCATTAGCACCAATGGCCAACAGAAGCAGGTGGAAAAGGTGTGTGGGGCCACTGAGGCCATATGTTGTCACCCAGGGTTGGGGCAGGGCAGGTAAGGCAGAGAAGGGGTGCCATAGACACCTTCAGGCAAGGTCTGCTTCTGGGACATGCTAGTTTCCCACCCCTCTCTGAACCTGATATCCCCATCTATGAAACGGGTTTCCTAGAATCTCAGGGCATGAACTGACAGGGTCAGCTTGATCCCCTTTGCTATCTCCAGGCTGCACCCAAAGACCCATTCCTCAGAGCAGACCCTCTGTAGCCCAGGCCCAGAGCTCATGGGGTAATGAGAGAAGAGGCTAAACCTTTATGCAACCCTTGGAGTGGGGTTCAGTAAGCTTATGTCACTGAAAGGAAACTGAGGCCCAGTGATGGTGAGTGACTTGTCCAAGGTCTCAGAGACAGGAAGCAACAGAGAAGGGATCCAAACCCAGGTTATCCAGAGCCCAAGCTCTTGACTGCTCTGGACTGTAGGCCAGGGTGGGAGTGTGAGAGCCACAAGGGCCTTGACACATTTTGCCCCTTGCACAGGCAGGAAAGCTGAGGCCCATAGGGGTGAGGGGCCCGAGGGTCAGCTGGGAGCAGCAAGTTGGGGGCCAGAGCCCAAGTCCCAACCAGGAGGTTCAGCACTGACCACATGGAGCCCCAGGTCCTGGCCACTGGTCCACATTTCTCTCTCTAGATCCTGACACCTAGTTTTCCTGTGTTTCTGCATGGACTGCAAGTTTGTTTTTTGTTTCTCTTTTATTGGAAAAGCTTTCTTATTGTGGTCTTTTGTGGGGTGGAGCTGGAGTAAATAATGGAACTTGCTCACAGTTGGCTCCTGAGTATCCTCATGGGTAGTCATGGAGGGGTGTGACAGAAGCACTTCAGAGTCACTCAGGGAAGCTGGGAGCCCTAAGGTGAGGACTGTGGTCTCCAGGGTAGGGACTCAGCACTGCTTTCCCTTTGTCTCCTCAGAGCCAGAACAAAGCCAAGCAGTGCAGGGACTCGGCCACAGAGGCAGGTATGTGGCCCACCCACCTCCTCAAACCTGTGTGGTGCACTGGACAGGCCTTCCCCCAACTGCACACTTTCCTACACTGGGGACATATACACTCACACCTGACCACACAGAGTCACAAGTTTGTCACTCTCACTTCCATACTTATTCAAGTAAAATGAAAATATTCATGTCCTCTCTTTTTCTAAGACTATTTTTGGTGGTTTGCATGTTTTAACTAGTCTGCACAACAATCCTGTGAGGTGACTGCTATTATTATCCTCCTTTTTAACAGATGATGAAACTGAGGCACAGAGAGATTAAATACCTTACCCAAAATCACCATTAGTAAGTGATGGTGACTGCATCCAACCCAAGTCATCTGGCTCTAGAGCTCAGGACTTTCACAGCTACCATCATGGCAGACACACCCACTCATCTCTCTCTCTCTCTCTCTCTCTCTCTCTCTCTCTCTCTCACACACACACACACACACACACACGCACGCACACACACACGCACACACGCACACACACACACAGCCTTCTCTGGGCCTGTCTCCTCTGTCCTTCACCTGATGCCAAAACCCTCAACACCTCTTGTCTCTGCCAGCATACCTCTCAGGACAGAAAGCTCGCTCTGCTCCCTTCTCCTGGGAAGGGTCTCCCTTCCGCTCTGCTTTTCCCAGGACCCAGCTGCTCCCAAGGCTGGAGGGCATGTGAACCCCAGAGTTCTGGGGACAGAGGTCGTGGCCAAGCCTGCTGGGTCCCCAGCCCAACAGCTCCCCTACTCCTCTATACCGTCCTTCAATGCTGCCGTCAGTTTCCCATCTGGAAAGTGATGGGTGGGACTGAAGATGACAAGAGGCCTGGACTCTGACCTTGGGTGTATGGCCTCTACTCCAGACTTGGGCAACTCAGAGCACAGCAGGGAGCTAAGAGTTACCCCAAAAGGAAGAGTACCACAGTGGGTGGCCCTGACAAGTGTCCAGAATGAGAAACCAGAAGCCGAGGCAGGTCTCTCTGGGGAAGGAGGAACTCTGAGCAGAGGCACTGCTGGAGCAAAAGAGTGGGCAGTGGAGATACCCATTGAGGCTGCCTACCTACCTGAGGGCCACCTGTGCTTCCAGAGAGAGTGTACAGGCAGAACATTGAGCAGCTGGAGAAGGTACGGGGAGAGTGGGAGCAGGAGCACCGGACCACCTGTGAGGTGAGTAACCTTGAGCCTCATTTTTCCCAGCTATAAAATAGGAAAGACAGTCCTCCCTGCTCTAAACCCCTTCCTAAAGCAGTGGGGTGGTAGGAGGGCCTCATTCCTTCATTCACCCACTCATCTGCTCACTCCCCAGCCTGGGCTGGGACTCTATCCCCAGAGAGCTCACTGCTGTTGGCTTTGTGCCCTGAGCCCCTTTGTTTCAAACAGGCATCCTTCATCCTTTTTTGTTGCAGCCAAAACTGAGGCTCAGACAAAACCCAGAGCTTCCTGGACCCTACTCGAGAACAGGGGCTGGGAGACAGGCCTTAGGACTGCTCCTCTTACAGCGCCCTCCTAGGGCCTTTCCAGTGTGTGGTGGGACCTGGAGGGAGGAAGAGGGCAGGAACCCCACGGGCAACTCAACCTTCTTCCCAGAAGCCTGAGGTGTTGGCACAGATGTGCGGGTGGGAACTCCTAGCAGGAGTATTTCCTTTACACTTGGCTTTGAGCAGAGAGGGTCTAGCTCATCAGCCCTAGCTGAGATCCGTTGGGCCTAGCCTTGCCTGGCTCTGCAGCTCCCTTCTCACCTCTTATCTCCATTCCCTCTCCACACCCCAGGCCTTCCAGCTGCAAGAGTTCGACAGGCTGACCATCCTCCGAAATGCCCTGTGGGTACACTGCAACCAGCTCTCCATGCAGTGTGTCAAGGATGATGAGGTTGGGAGACCAAGGGTGGGGAGGGATATGGAGTGAGCTGGTAGACGAGGCAGGTAAAGAGAGAGCAGCTTCTGAGCAACAGCATGCCCAGGTCCACTTGGGTCTGTCAACAAACACCTCAGGCATCATCCTCTGCCCCTAGGGCCCCAAGTTCAGGGAGCTCAGTATGGCACAGAACCGTGGTCTCTCTGCCTGGAAGACTATGCTTGGTCTTGGTTCTGCCAGGGTTGGGAAGATAGGTGGACACAGTCCCTCAGAGGTCTGCAGAGACTGGAGACCCCTGGGCTGTTCTGTTCTAGGCCTACCATTTGCAGGAACTGAGGTCAGTCTCTCCTCTGTCCCCTACACTTCTCCTGGGTGTCCTGGTGCCCTTACTGAGCTAGCTCTACATGCTGGGTGGTTGGGATGGGTCCTATCCAGCAGAGAGGGGCCACTACCTTCTCACCAGGGTCTGTATGACCTCTATTCATGTAGCCCCAGAGCCATGAGCTCTCTTGAAGCAGCCCTGACTCCCTGGTGCTCACTGCTCTTCTTTGCCTGACCTCTCCACCTGTGGGCTGTGGGGTTTTGGGTTCCTCCACCCAAATGACTTGAGCCCCCCCTGTGGCCTCCTTGTGGCAAAGGAAGAAGGGTGGGCTATGGGTCCTGTCATACTGAAACAAAACCCAGCTGCACTGAATTCTTGTTCTGAGATATTGGGTAAGTGACTTTCCTTCTCCAAGTTTCCTCATCTATAAAATAAGGGAAATAGTGTCTACTGCAGAGGACAGAAGTGAGGTAAATCCCTTGCATAGGATCTTGTGTATAGGAAGTGTTTGGGAACCAGGAGATGCTGTCAGCCAGGGCTCTGACCCCTCTGGCAGTCCTGGTGCAGTTACACCCCAAGACCCCCCCGAATACAGACACTGAGCTGTACACACAAGGCCTGCAAGGAGTGTGGTGTGGTGGAATCCCCTGGCCAGAGTTCAGAGTCATAGAAAGACAGGGCTTCGATAAGGGTGGGCACTAAGGTGAGGCCTGGCCCCCCAGCCTCTGTTCTTCCCCACCCCCAGTTCTACGAGGAGGTACGGGTGACTTTGGAAGGCTGCAGAGTGGAGGCTGACATCAACGGCTTCATCCAAGCCAAGAGCACAGGCACTGAACCCCCAGGTAAGGCCCGGCCTGCAGGCAGCACGACCTCTGGGTCCAGACCTGTCTGTCCCGAACAGGCCTGGCCCTGGTTCTCTGAGCCTCAACTACCAGGGCAGGGCTGGTGTGGCTCACAGACCCCCTCTGGGTGGAGGAGATGTGGCCAGATTCCATGGAGGAATTAAGGACAGTATGGTCCCCTAAGGCAGAGGATGAGTAGAACTTAATAATACTGTAATAATCAGAAGAGTGAGTGGAGGTGGAGAGCCTCCTCAGAGACCCCACCTCAACCTGTTTGGTCCCATTAAATTATGAGCCCAGAATATTTGGTTTCAGTGGTGCCCACAGTGGGGTCTCTCATGGAAGTGAGAGAGGCCCATTCCCCAAGTGCAAACATGGGCCAGGGCCAAGATGGGAAAGTGAATTTCCAGTCTGTGTTTCTGGATGGGGATAGGTTGGGGTATCAGATGGCAGAGGTCCTTTCCTGCCCTGCTCTCAGCCACCCTGGACCTCACAGGCTTGTTCTCCACAGCTCCAGTGCCCTACCAGAACTACTACGATCGGGAGGTTGCCCTATCATCTGGCAGCCCTGGCATACAACCGTCATGTGGCATGATAAAAAGGTGAGATACCCACTGGGATGCGAGGTTGGGTGGGGGGCAGGAAGCAGGTACAGCCTCTCCTCCTGCAACTGACTGATCTACAAGGTCTGTCCAGAAGCCATGTAATATGAAAAATGAGACATTTATTGAAGGAGATACAAGATACAAGAAACAATGTGCATAGGACAATTACGCCTCAGTCCCCTTCAAAGTAGGCACCTTGGGACCTCACACAGATCTCCCAATTGCCATCAGCTGCCCCACTGTATTTTCTTGAATCTCATCAATGGTCTGATATCTCTTCTCTTTCAAAGATGATTAGTTTTGGGAAAAGCCAGAAGTTGCAGGGTGCCAAATCTGGGCTGTAGCAGGGCTGAGTCACCTGGATGATTTGATACTTCACCCAAAAACTCTGCATAAGACATGATGTATGAATGGATGCATAGTCATGATGAAACTGCTAATCATCAGTTGCCCATAGTTGTGGCCTTCTGAATAGTCTGACTAGTTTCCATGGAGGACTGTTCAAGCTTAGTGTAAAATTTGATGCAGATTCATTGCTCTACTCGCCCAGTCATTTTGAATATGATGGCCACGCAGTACACATGCTCACTCAACAGCATCTATCACCCCCACTGACTAGTACAGTAAAGTCATCATTGTTCATGCATGCGCATTCTCGTCTACTCTCCTTGGCTACTACTAGGTTGCACAAACCATTCTCATTATATTAGCAATGGCTGTACTTTTCCTGGACAGGCCTGGTATATGTATTGATTAATCATCCACTGCATGTTTGGTACTGTGTTCAGGTGCTGGGCACTCTTTGAGGACAAGACAGGCTCAACCAGGTCTCATGAAACCCTCAGCCCAAGGGGACCCAGGCATTAAACACATTAATCACACCCCACTTATTTATAAGTGAACGCTAAGAGCTCTAGGGACACCTCAGGCTAGCTTCCTGTCCCTTGGAGCCTGCTGCTAGCCTGGGCTGGTGCCCTGGACAGTCAGGTTGCAGTGGTAATGCTCGCCCGCTGGTGCAGGATCAGGATGTAGGAGCAGGCCCCGTAGCCAGTATTCTTGGAAAATTCTCCAGGTTCCTCAGGAGCCCTTCCCTGGCCTAGCTGTAGTAGGATCCAAAGCCTCAGTGTGTTACCTGAACAAGTCACTCACCTTCACTAGGTCCAGGGCCCATGAGTGCCAACTGGGGTCAGACTCAGAACCAAAGAACCCTCCTACTTTAGGTCTTGTGTGATGATGATGACAGCCAATTGGGAGTGTCTTAACCTGCTCAGGGAGTGCACCAGTAGCCAGGTCTTGGATGGACCTCCATACCCTGTCTGTGGGCTTGTAGAAGCATCTGTGGGTTTCACATAGTACCTGTGCCCCTCTCCCAACCCGAAGCCCCCATGACCTCCTCTCCATCCAACCTTATGCAGAAAAGGCCTTGCGTTTGGGAGGTAGACAAGGGAAATGGTGGGGTGTTGTAGGGGTGGTCAACGGAGCTCCCAGCCCTCTGAGGACAGCTCACTTTCAAGACCTCAGGAGCCCGTAGGATCTCACAGGAGGATGTCTCAGAAGCAGAGGCTCATAAGAAGCACTGAAGGCCAGAGCTGGGAGCACAGTGTACTTCTCTGACAACCTCGAGAAAGCAGTGACCCCAGGAAAATGACATTCATACCCTCACAATGTTACCAAAATCTTGGGGGACCCAGGCCTCCCTGTGCCCCCAGTGAGGACTTGCATCCTGCCACAGGGGGTCATTTAAACAACTGGATGAAAGAGCTCACCTGAGACAGTGTCAAGAAAAGACAGAAAGGAAACAAGAAAAGATGCCCACTCACTATTATTGAGTATGGTGTTGGAAGTCCTAGCCACAGCAATTAGACAAGAAGAAGAAATAAAAGGCATCCAAACTGGAAAGAAGGAAGTAAAACTGTCATTGTTTGCAGATGACATGATACTATCTATAGAGAACCCTACAAATTCCACCAAAAAACCATTAGAACTAATGAATGAATTCAGTAAAGTGGCAGGATACAAAATTATTAATATTCAGAAATTGGTTGCATTTTTACATACCAATAATGAATGAAAAATGAAGAAAACAAATCCATACACAATTGCATCAAAAAGAATAAAATACCTAGGAATAAATTTAACCAAGGAGGTAAAAGATCTATACTCAGAAAACTAAAAGACATTAAAGAAAAAAATTCAAGAAGACACAAATAAGTGGAAGCATATACTGTGCTCCTGGACAAGATGAATAAACATTGTTAAAATGTTCATACTAACCAAAGCAAGCTACAGAGTCAATGCAATCTTTATCAAAATACCAATGGCATTTTTCACAGAACTAAAATAGATAATCCATACATTTATGTGGAACCAGAAAAGACCTCAAATAGCCACAGCAATCTTAAGAAAGAAGAACAAAGTTGGAATATCACACTACCTGATCGCCCTCTATACTACAAGCCTATAGTAGTCAAACCATCAAGGCACTGACATTAAAAAAAAAAAAAAAAGACACATAGATCAATGGAACAGAATAAAGAACCCCAAAATAAATCCACACCTATATGGTCCATTAATCTATGACAAAGAAAGCAAGAATATACAATGGGGTAAAAACAGTCTATTCAATAAATGGTGCTGGGAAAACTGCACAGATAATTGCTGAGAATGAAATTAGACCACCTTTTTACACTATATACAAGAATGAACTCAACATAGGTTAACAACTTAAATGTAAAACCTAAAATCATAAAACTCCTAAAAGAAAACATAGGCAATAAACTCTTTGATATTGGTCTTAGCAATATTTTTTTGAATATGTCTCCCCAGGCAAGGGAAACAAAAGCAAAAATAAACAAATGTAACTAGGTAAAAAAGCTTTTGTACTATAAAAGCAACCATCAACAAAAGGAAAAAACAGCCTATTAAATGGGAGAGGATGTTTGTAAATGATACATCCAACAAGGGGTTAATATCCAAAATACATAGAGAACTCATACAGTTCAACATAAAGTACAATCTTCTCTAGCTGGGTGGCTCAGTTGGTGGGAGCATCACCCCATACACCAAAAAATTATGGGTTTAATTCTTGGTGGGGCACATACAAGAGACAACCAACTGATGTTTCTCACATCAATGTTTCTCTTTCTTGTGCTCTCTCTTCATTCCTCTCTCTCTAAAATCAATTTTAAAAAACATATCCTTGGGTGAGGATTAAAAAAACAAATCAACTTTAAAAAATCTGATATAAAAATGGGCAGTGGACACATAGAGACATTTCTCCGAAGAGGACATAAAGATAGGCAATAGATATATTAAAAGATGCTCAACATTCTAATCATCAGAGAAATGCAAATTAAAACTACAATGAGATATGACCTCACACTTTTCAGAATGTTGATGAGAATGTGGAGAAAGGGAGCCTTCGTGGACTGTTGGTGGGAATGCAGATTGGTGCAGCCACTGTGGAAAACAGTATGGCGTTTTCTCAAAAAACTAAAAATAGAGCTGCCATATGGTCCAGGAATTCCACTTCTGGGTACTTATCTGAAGAAATCCAAAACAGTAATTCAAAAAGATAATATGCACCTCTATGTTCATTGCAGTGTTGTTTACAATAACCAAGATATAGAAGCAGCCCAAGTATCTATCAATAGAAAAGTGTATAAAGATGTGACACATACATACAATGAATATTACTGGGCCTTAAAAAGAATGAACTCTTGCCATGTGCGATGGACCTATACTAAATGAAATGTCAGTCAGAAAATCTAAAGAACAAAATAAAAGAACAAACAAAACAGAAACAAACTCATAGATACAGAGAACAAATCAATGGTTGCCTGATGGAAGAAGGGTTGGGGAGGTGAGTGAAAAAGGTGAAGGAATTAAGAACAAATTGTCTGTTATAAAAATAGTCAACAGAGGTGTAAAACACAGCATAAAGAATATAGTCAATAACGTAATAACTATGTACGGTGTCAGATAGGTACTAGACTTATCAGGGTGATCACTTCATAAGATAAAAAAGTGTCTAATCACTATGTGGTACACCTGAACCTAATATTGTATGTCAACTGTAATTTAAAAATGAATTTAAAAATTTAAAAAAGGGACAGAAAGGAGTGCCCTATGAAGACAAAAGAGAGAGAGGTCCTGCTGGGTAGAGGAGAGGGAAGGGGTGGAAAGGGTTGCTGTCTAGGTTAGCCAGAAACCAGGCAGGGTGGAGAGGGCAGAAGCAGGTACTGGGAAATGAGTGAAGGGGAGAATTGGAGTTGCAAATGCAGACAACTCTAGGGAAACAATGCAGTGAGGCAGAGCACACACCAGCCTCAAAGAGCTCTGCTCCTCCCAGCCCTGCTAGGTTTAACCCTGCCACTGCCTAACCCCTCCACCTCTATCAGTGAAAGGCCTTGTCATGAGCACTAGGTGGGCCTGCGTGCCCACTCCCAAACCATTGGTCCACAAACCCTGTGTATGGGTGGGCGGGCGTGAGGGAGGGACCAGATTAATCTGCCTCCACTCCTCAAACTCCTCCTCTGTCCAGTCCCTGTTCTGCACCTTTGCATCTCCCCCACCCCATTCACTGGTAATGCCTTTTTGCACCCTAATTTCTGCCTGTTAAAGCTAAGCCTTTCAAGACTTGACCCCACAGGCTGCCTTTCCTGAGGCAGCCAAGCAGCATCAGCTTCTAATTATTTAGTCTTTAGTACTGTTGGCTTCATGGGGGTAGCCCCAGTGTTTATCTCTTGCTTGTTCCATTTTGGTTTTTATTCACTGAAGCTCCATGACTCCAGCTCAGTCCAGGCCTGACCCAGGCACAGGGGGAGGGTGAGTAAGTTCAGCACTGTCTCCAGAGCTCACATGTACAGTGGGTACTGCTGCTTCATGTGGTTGGGGAGTGGCCAGGCAGGCCAAGCAGGCAAGGAGGCTGCTGTTCCAAGCGGCAGGCTGACTGGGCCCAAGCTGGTGGTGAGCCCAGTAGGAGGAGTGGATCCACCTCTGAGAGCCCTCTTATTGCCCATTCGATGAGGGTGGAGCAAGAGCTTGCTGGGGCCAGGGTCAGATAAGACCACTTGGGACCACCCTTTGGGGAACCTTCATGCCTAAAGGGAATGTCACAAATCACTTCTGTGCCTGGAGGCTGGGGGCGGCACTAGAGCTCTGAGGACTCCCTGCCTCATCCCCTCCTGCAGGACCTACCTGCTTTCTTCCCTGTCCCCAGGTTCTCTGGGCTGCTGCATGGAAGTCCCAAGACTGTTCCATTGGCATCATCTGCAGGTAACTGGATGTGATGTGGGGACCTCCAAACAACTGTGACCCCGGGGTGAAGGAGAACTTTTACAGGCACAAGGAAGTGCTCCCACTGCTGGGGGAAGAAAAGCTAAGCCAAGTGCGGGGACATTCCAAGTAGGGGGGAATCCAGGGGCCAATATCCTATGAAAGGGGTGGGCTCCAGGCCTCACTCTGCTCTCAGCCTCCACAGACACCTTGACTTCCACCCCCAATCAGAATGAGGGTGTCTACGCCGCTGTCGCAGTGCAGGAGGCACCAGGACCCCCAAGCCTGCCAGCCCGGGACTACAGGGCGCTCTATGACTACAGAGCCCAGGTGAGGATCTTGCCCTCCTCTCCTCTCAGGAGGGCACCAGGATGCCCAAGTGTTTTCATGTGCAAGCACATGCCCTGTGAGTGTGCTTGGGTGTGTGTGCCATTAGAACAGTGCCCAGGACTTAGGAGGGGCTCTGTATCTGCTGAGTGAATGTTGATGAAAGGGGTGCCATGACGTGTCTCCCCCTGAATCTGTTCACACATACACACAACGCCCAGGCAGACAAGGGCACTGTGTGTGCTGTCTGTATGGCCATGAGCACACATGCAGGCAGGCTGACAGAACTTGGGCTACCTGCAGAAATGGTCCAAGGGTCAAGCTCTATAACCTCAGATTAGGGCTCTGTTCTCCATGGCCATGGGTGCCAAGAACAATCTACAGCCAGAGTCAGCCCCAAAGTTGTGCTGGGTTTAGTTTCCTGAGGTCCATGGGGAGTGGATAGGTCAGGGAATCACAGGGCAGTTGTGCCAAGATGCCCGTGGAGTCCAAAGTGCTGCTTGCTTTGGGATGAGGGGTGCAGAACAAAACTCACATCCATTTAGAATGAGGCCAAACACCCAGTCAGGACTGGGGGGCAGCATGGCCAACTGCCCTGATGTGCAAAGCCCAATTCCTGATGGGGAAGACAGGCCAGGAGAAGGACTGTGTGTTTGTGAAGGGTTAGCAGAGCTGAGAGAGCATACGGGAGCTCATTAGCAGAGGGGAGGCTGTGTGGCGGGCCCAGAGTGAGAGTGCCCCTTGGGCAACAACATAGTGTACCCACCTGCCCCCTGACTTGCTCAAGCACTGTGTGCCTGAAGCAGAGTGGGATAAGGGACAGCAGGGAGGTGAAGCAGAAAGCAGGGAAGAAACCCAGGTTTGTGGAAAGCCTACAAAGAGAAACCAGGGAGGGTGGGTGGACAGGAGGCCAAGTCCCATGTGTCACATCCTGTGTCTCCAAGGGCTGCCCCAGCCCAGATAGAGAGGCCTTGTCCTGCAATCCTGGGAGGGGAGACATGTCTCAGCTGACAGCCCACCTGGAAGGCAAGCTTGAATTTATGGCTCGGGGTGGAGGTTTGCCCAACCAGACCCTCCCATCAGGCCTCTCCAGCTTGATGCACTTTCATTCTGTCACCAAGAATTCTGACGAGCTGGACATCTCTGTGGGGGACATCCTGGAGGTCCTCCTGGAAGGGGAGGATGGCTGGTGGACAGTGGAACGGAATGGGCAGCGTGGCTTCGTCCCTGGCTCCTATCTGGAGAAGCTCTGAGGAAGGGACAACAGCCCTGACCTGGATCTGCCCTGTCTGTTGGGCCAGCAGTGTCTACATCACTGCAAGGCTGGGACCCCAAGACCAAGCCAGCCCTCCAACCCCATGAGTGCTGGCTGTTTCCACAGCAGTCTCTCCTACTTGGAATAAAGGCATGCATTCTTGCTCCTCAGTCTGAGGACGTCCCTTTCTCTCTTACTCCCACCCCATGTCCGAGTGCTCAACTCAGAGGAGGCAAAGGAGTGGGGGGAGTCTGGGAGAGCAGAGTTGCCCACATGCGGTGAGGCGCTGCCAGGATTGGCTAGGGATGAAGAGGAGCCCTGGCTCCAGTCCCTGGAAAATACAACTGCATGGGAAACACATTCACACTCACGCAAATGGGAAAAGACCACAGGGGTCATGGAGGAGGGACAAGAAGGGGCTCAGAAGAGCTGGAATGGAAGGAACCAGGCTTCCTAAGGTCGAAGTGGAACAGGGGCTCCAACAGGACACAAGGAAGAGAAGACCATCAGGGCCATGCAGGTAGGTTAGTACAAGGAGGAGTCAGGAATGCCTGGAACATTCTACAGATAAGCCAAACCCAGTCTGGGGCAGGAAATAGGATGCGGGTGCACTGGGAGTGAAGGGGCCATGGTGGGGAATCAGGGAAGACAGGCTCACAGGTTTATAGGTCAAGTGATCCTCACTGTCTCCCTGACCCACCTGGGGCCCAAGGAAGCCACTATTGCCTGTGCTGCTCCCTCTCAAACATGGCAAATCCTGCCCAGGCAGGGGTTCAGAGCCTGTGCAGGCTGATCCTGGGCACAGAGGTGGCCATGCTCCCTTTGGTTCCTGATGATCTCAGGCCTTTCTCTCTTTGGACTCAGGCCCTGAAGACAAAACTTCTACTCTGGGCAAGGCCCTGCTCCAGTTATGATTGGCTCCATCCATGCCAAAGGCTTCGGGTGTGGTGTGGGGAGAGAGCCCGTGGGAACTGGTAGCTCCTTGGTCCTGGCCCTCCTGTACTCACCTGTTGAAGCCCCAGAACTCTGCAGCATAACAGCTCAGGGCCAGAGTACTGCAGGGGTGGATGGGAGACATGAGTTCTCCACCAGGCATACCTTGAAACTGTTGAGGGTGTTACTATCCTCTGTAGACCATCTTTCTCTGGGACTGTAAATTACTCTCCTTGTTCATTCACAAACTTTGCCCCATACAAGAGCAAGATAAGTAAAGCCTCAGTCCTTTGCTTTACTCCAGGAGCTCTTGACCCAGTAGAGGGACTAAACAGCCCAGAAAGTCCATGATGACACAGGATGTGCAGATCAGTCCTCAGGCTTCTGGGACAGGTGGCCTGAGGTAAGCCAAGGAAACAGGAAATCTATTCCAAGAGAGGAAAGGGGCTCCTTTCCATACCTGCCTGCTCTGGTAGCCCCACAAAGGGCTCTGGGGTTCATGTGTGCAACAGAGAAGGGAGTAAGGGCCATTACTGGAACTCCTCAGGATTTAGAACTAGAAGAGACTCTGAAAGAACTAATCTGACCTACTACACAATGTTCTCCCTGCCACTCCTGGAGACTGGGCACTGGGCACCCCAGCTGGCTTCAACACCTTTGGTGGCAGGGGCCTCATAACACCCATGAAACCCTGCAGTACACCTGTGGCTTCCCACTGGTCCTGGCTCTGCCTAGACTGCCGCCCACCTGGCAGCCACACAAAGGACCATTCCACATGGCCAGGCAAGTTTCAGATGCCACAGGGGCAAAAAAGACACCTTTGACCAAGCTCTGCCTGAGGAAGAGGACAAGGAGGAACTGCTAAAGGGGGCTGCTCTTGTGTTTACAGAAAGTGTCCATCTTTGTATCCTCGTCTTCATCACTTGAGTAAAAAAGTGGTGTGATTAAGCAATCATGACTCCTGATGCAGGAGAGGGATGGGCTTTCTTCTTTCAGGAGGCAAAGTGCCTTTGGATTGCGACCTCTCGCTCCAATCTCAAGTGTGTGGGCACCTCGTAAGTCTACAAAGCATTCATGCTGGGGCCAGGAAGAGGTGAAAAGGCACAAGGCAGCCTCACAGTAGGGCCCTGGAAGGAGGGCTCTGGAACTGTGGACTAGGGTTAGTCTTCTGCTAGTGTCACCTCCCACTGCTTCCATCAGAGGGTTTGTGGCAGATGGGGCAGGAAAAAGCTTTGGGCCTCTGTAGGGGGGTGGGGGGGGTAGAAATCACACTGAGGTTTAAATCCTTCCTAAAATGTCATTTTCCCTCATAAAGCATATCTTATAAGAGCACTGACCAAATGTCCACACCTGCCCCTAACCCGTCTTGAGGTTTATATGTAGGGATATTTGGAGAGAAAAATATAATCTAATGCTTGGTCTTATACATCCCTGGAGAGAGAGAAAAAAGTCAGTGAATAAAAGCCTGGCTATGAAAATGCTTTCCTGCACTAGAAATGTTACCCCAGGTAAAGACTTGAAGGGCAGCCCCAGAAGTAATTCAGTCAAGGTATTTTGATGGCTTCTGTGTGACTGACCCTGTATTTGATAATGGGGGTGCTAAGATAAAGAATGCCCTCAAAGAGCTCACTGGCCTCAAAAGGAGCACTGTATTGTACTGTCTGACACAAAGTAAAGAGTGAACAGGGCAAGAGAGAGACTGGGAGACCAAACAGATAGAGCTTATCCTACATGGAGATGACAGTGGCTTGTCCGGGAAGTGGCCATTGGGCTGGAGAGCAATTCTGGCAGAAAGGAGATGAGAAGTGATTTCTGAGCTGAACCTTGAGAAGAGGCTGGTGCCCCCAGGCAGAATAGAAGCAGGGCCCAGAAAGAGCTGGCAGCTAAGCAGATTGACCACCAGGGTTAGGTCATGTATGTGCAGCCGAGAGGAAGAAATGACAGTTTTGTATCAGTGCTTATTTATTCTTTGAAAATACCTTGTCATCTTGATTGAGCATTCCATTCGACTGCAAACATTTTTTTAGAAACTTCGGCCTAGATATTTATCATCTCTGACCAGTGCTGGCAGCATCTATGGGCCCCAGGGGGTGATGGGTAATGAATGTTACATAATACAGCCAGACAACTAAAGGATAGAACTGAAAGTAACTCTTGGGTCAAAATTTATTCCAGGGAAAAAATATACAGACACAAATCTAAGATTCACTGCCTCTACAGCTTCCTCCATTCTCTGTGCACCAGGTTGCAACCTCAGAGATAACCAATCTCATGGACAGCATTGCCAACAGAGGATAGTGCCAGAGAAAGAGGGAGTTGGCTTCCGTAGCTGGGTGTATGAATAACTGTAGCCTTCTGCCTGACAGAGGGAAGCATGGCCTCTGTGGTCAGAACATCCGGATTGGAATCCACACTCATGCTTTTTTGTGTGGTCTCAGGAAAGTCACAATTTCTCTGTACCTCAGTTTCATCATCAGTAAAATGAGGGCATAAGCCCTTATGCAAATTGAAACTAGATAGGGAATGTGGTTGTACAACACTGTGAAAGTACTAAATGTCACTGAATTTTTTTTTATTATTGTTCAAGTACAGTTGTCTCCATTTTCCCCCACCACTCCCCTCCACCCCACCCATCTCCACCTACTGCCCTTGATCCTACCCCCACCCCCGGCTTTGTCCTTGTGTCCTTTATACATGTTCCTTGACAACCCTTCCCTTTTTGCCCCATTATCCCCATTATCCCCTCCCCCATATCCTCTGGTTAATGTCAGTTTGTTCTTCATTTCAATGTCTCTGGTTATATTTTGCCTGCTTGTTTGTTTTGTTGATTAGGTTCCCCTTACAGGTGAGATCATATGGTATTTGTCTTTCACTGCCTGGCTTATTTCACTTAGCATAATGCTCTCCAGTTCCATCTATGCTATGGCAAAGGGTAGGAGCTCCTTCTTTGTGCTGCGTAGTATTCCATTGTGTCAATGTACCATAGTTTTTTGATCCACTCATTTACTGATGGGCACTTTAAGCTGCTCCCAGTACTTGGCTCTTGTAAATTGTGCTGCTATGAACATTCGGGTGAATCAGTTCTTTTGATGTTTTGGGATTCTTAGGGTATAATCCTGGCAGTGTAATTGCTGGGTCAAAAGGCAGCTCCATTTTCAGTTTTCTGAGGAAATTCCATAGTTTTCCACAGTGGCTGCAACAGTCTGTATTCCCCCAGTGCACTAGGGTTCCCTTTTCTCCACAACCTCGCCAGCACTTGTTACTTGCTGATTTGTTTAGGATGGCCATTCTGACCAGTGTGAGGTGGTATCTCGTCATAGTTTTAATTTGCATCTCTCTGATGGCTAGTGATGCTGAGCATGCTTTCCTATGTTTGTGGGCCCTCCGTATGTCCTCCTTGAAAGAAGTGTCTGCTCTGCTAAGGTCCTTTGCCCATTTTTTAATTGGGTTGTTTGTCTTCCTGGAGTGGAGTCATGTTGAGTTCTTTATATATTTTGGACATCAAACCCTGTCCAAGGTATCATTGACAAATATATTTTCCCATGTGGTTGGTTCCCTTATCATTTTGCTGATGTTTTCTTTTGCCATACAGACGCTTTTTATTTTGATGAAGTCCCATTTGTTAATTCTTTCCTTTATGTCCCTTGCTTTAGGGGACAAATCAGTGAAAATACTGCTGTGTGGAATATCAGAGATTTTCCTGCCTATGCTCTCCTCTAGAACTTTTTATGGTCTCATGACTTATATTTAAGTCTTTTATCCGTCTTGAGTTTATTTTTGTGTATGGTGTAAGTTGGTGGTCGAGTTTCATTTTTTTGCATGTAGCTGCTTAGCTCTCCCAACACTATTTGTTGAAGAGGCCATTTTTACTCCACTTCATGCTTCTGCTCCCTTTGTTGAATATGAATTGACCATAGAGACTTGGGTTTATTTCTGGGCTCTCTATTCTGTTCCATTGATCTATGTGTCTGTTCTTATGCCAGTATCAGACTGTTTTGATTACCATGGCCTTGTGATATAGTTTGATATCAGGAATTGTGATCCCTTGTACTTTGTTCTTCTTTCTCAAAATTGCTGTGACTATTTGGGGTAATGTGTGGTGCCATATAAATTTTTGAAATGTTTGTTCTCTACCTTCTTCACTAAAATGGCTAATTTTATGCTATGTGAGTTTCACCTCAATTAAAAAAAGTTATTAAAAATTTTAATACCTGACAGTATGTGCATGGAGGTGTTCAATGCAGCAAGGTTGGAACCAATCTGAATGATCATCTACTGTACATTCATTAATCATGGTATTAATGTATCCATCCAGCTAACAAAAAGGAATGACAAATCCTATAGTCTAATACAGAAATAGTACCATACTATGCTGTGAAGGGAAAAAGTGAACCTTGTAGAACAGAATTCAGATAGTAGTAAAGCACAACACAAACACCTGTTTTTGTGTATGTAGAGAAAATACAGTTGACCCTCAAACAACAGGGGTGTTAACAGGCACCAACCCTAGCCATCCACAGTTGAAAATCCGCATATAACTTTTGACTCCCCCAAACTTAACTATAGTCCCTTGTTATCTGTGGCAGATAGGTTCCAGGAACCCCTGTGGATACCAAAATCCATGGATGTTCAAATCCCTTGTATAAAATGGCAAAGAAAAATGCATACAGTCAGCATGCTGCATCTGCAGGTTCCCAAGTGCAGATTGAGAAATACTGTCTTCAGTCATGGTTGGCTGAATCTGTGGATGTGAAACCCAGGGATACAGAAGGCTGACTGTATATATGCATTATTGAAAAAATAATCTGCATATAGGTGGACCCGTGAAGTTCAAATCAGTGTTGTTCAGGGGTCAACTGTAGTCAAAAAGGATATACACCACATCTAAACTTGCTTAAACAATTTTTTAAAAGACAGTAAGACAAGCTCTGATAGATGAAAAGCAAAGACGACAGTAGCAATAAGCACAGCCAGTACAAGGGCCCAGGGCTCCTTGGAGAGATACTGACTCCAGGACTGGGGCACAGTTGGGTACAAGATGAACCTGGAACATCCTGTTATGTCAAAAATTACAGAAATTTTCAAAAAATGGTTGGAGCACAAGAAGCAACTTGAAGGGGCTCCTACCGGCCAAATCTGAAACTGAGTACCAAAAACAAAACAAAGCAAAACAAAACAAAAAAAAGGGACAGTAATGAATTATAAATCATTGAAATAAGGGGAATCCATCAGTCCATAATGAATATAGGTACATAAAAATAAATCACCATGTGAGAAGGGAGGGAGGACAGACTGATAAATGAGGGAAAGTGTTTTATAATCATCATACTCAAGATCGAATCTAAAATTGTAATCATCATAGTAAAGACTGAATCAGCAATGCTTGTTAAATCTCAGGAGAAGTTTGGCGAGGAACAGGATATTTATATGGTCTTAGGAGTATGTCTCCAGAGATTGCTTATGAGCTGGGAGAAAATAGTAACTATCCTGAACCACCACATCCACCTCACTAAGGCCTACTCATGCCCCTCCAATCCATTTTCCCAACCACAGCCCACTCTACAACAGGCCCACTTGTATCACACATGGCTGCCTCTTTCTGTAACTGAAGTCTGACTCTCTACAGGATGTCATTTAAGACCCTAAGGCACCCAAGCTTTGCCACTTCAACCTCTTTTCCCAACCTTGTATTTTAAGCTCCAGGCACAATGAGTTACTAGTAACTCCCTGCAGGCTCCATCCCACTTCACAGTCCTGGTAACCTCTCCCACAAAGCCAATGCACCCACTGGGCTTGGGCCTCTTCTCCAGGATGTTGCCCCTGACCTCTCTGGGCACCTCCTTTGGGCTTCCATTCTTCTGTTACTACAGTCACTGCACTGTATGGAAATTATCTGCTTTTGTGTATGTTGCTGTACTAATACTCCACATGCCTTGAAGGCAAGGACAAGCATCATCATTGTAATCCCAGCACCATGCACAAGTAGATTCTCCATATTTGTGGGATACAGGGGACTGAAAAGCATCTGTGGGTTCTGAAGACCAAGGCCTGTAGGATTTGGCAACAGATATAATTAAAACACATGCAAATCATGATGAACCAACATTTAAAACACTGAAGTACCCTCAAATAATTAAAAACTACATGTTAAGGGGTAATACGGAGTTTATTGAATTAAGAGTTTTCTATTTACAACTGAGATCACAACTACATACTATTTTGCTAGTCTACATGGGTACATTATTTCTAATACATTTAGACTTACAATGAATGGGTTCAATCATCACCCCCCCACACAAATTGTTTTAAAACAGTAGTGCATACATTATACTCCTCCTATAAAGCCAGCTTTGATTGACAACCTCTAGTTTCAAAGATGACTCTGTTTGAAGATGAACCAAGTATGAACACTGTATGATTCTAAAATCAATTTTAGCCATTTTGTACAGCTGCTATTTTATTGGACTATAGTATATATTTTTTTAAAAGGACACTCGGGAGGGGCACCAACTGCTGTTAAGTCCCCTTCCTCAAAAACCCGTTGACCCACATTTGTCCATTGTGAAGCCTAGCAGGACCCAGTGGTACTTCAGTAGGAGGCCAACTGCTGCTGGGAGGTAACAGAAGCAGCCACTCCTTCTTTAATTCCACCATACTACATAACCTGAAAATGGCTCTGAAATTAGTGCTTAAAAACTGAGAGACATAGAATCAGCTAGAAGAGGGGAAAAGAAAGTCATTGGTAGGTAAGTAAGAGGGTATACAAAGAACCAAGCTGCTCTGTCCAACACACGGGCTTTAACTAAATGAACTCTGGAGGCCAAGTGCAGTAGGCCTGTTCAATTATCCTTCCAAATCAGACTAACCAGCTCAGGCTTGAGTTTTGTACTACGCATAGGTTCCACCAGTGATGAGAAGCTCGTAAGCAGGATCTCTACTCCTTCTGCACAATACGATGCATGCACATAGCATGCCCAGCAGCTGTGGGGAAAAAACAATGGAAAAGAGAAGCTAAAAACCCTTATATAGCACAGATATATTTCTTTGTTGGCAATGATGTTTCAAAATCCAGTGTCCTCAAATGATCAAAAAAGCAACAAGAGTAAGAGAAGTAACATTATCTTTTTAGGAACTAAGTACCAAGTTGTACCTTCCCTCACTTATACTTAAGAACAATTTGTGAAACCAGCAAAGAATCAAGGCTACCCTGCTGCCACCCCCACTCTCAGTCTAGACCAGTGCTGTACAAAAAGAACTTTCTGTAATGATGGAAACCTCTGTCTGAGCTGTCAAAGATGGTAGCCAAAAACCACTGCAACAAAGGACTTGTGTTTTTTGTTTTATTTAAATTACTCTAATCTTAGAAATATGTGGTTACTGGTTAGCACACTGGACAGCAAAGTTCTAGAAAGGAAAATTACCAAGACTGTGTGTTGAGGCCCTCGCTGGTATGGCTCAGTGTGTTGAGCACTAGCCTGTGAACTGAAAGGTTGCTGGTTTGATTCCCAGCCAGGGCACATGCCTGGGTTGAGGGCCAGGTCCCCAGATGGGGGCATGTGAGAGGCAAATAATCAATATTTCTCTCTCACATCAGTGTTTCTCTCCTGCTCCTTCTCCCTCTCTTTCCCTTTCTCTAAATAAATATATATATATATATATATATATATATATATATATATACACACACACACACACACACACACATATATATAAAATAAAATCTTTAAGAAAAAAATTTTTTAAAGACTGTACTGAGGAAATTTCAGGCATATGAATTTGGGGGAAAATACACTCTGTAACAACCCACATAACTCAGTACATGAATAGCGCAAAAGTGCTATGGTGGAAAACCAATCCTGACACCAAAAAAATTCTGGTGTAGTTTGGTAGTTTTAAGGTTTCTGTTTCTTTCACAATTATTTATTATTTTCAAAATCCAGGTTTGGCTCAGCGGTATTACACACACATTACTTTGTAAAGGTCACTCCTCCATCATTTTATTTTAATAAGCCCTAATCTTTCTGTAGTAGCCAAATGGAACAGTAATAAAATCATCCCAAGTTATTTTTAATAAGCAAGAATTATTAAACTGGATTAAAAATAATTCTAGAATTTTTGACCTGGCTTCTTACAAATACACAGTAGCAAAAAAAGTAAATACGAGTGAGTTAATTTGCTGTCTTAACTTTTCATTGAGAGTGAACTGTCACAGTCATTTGATTTTAAAAGGCAGGGTCCTCTGCACATATGGGGTCAATCTAATTTCAAAACAATATACTCTACCCAGAAACAGGCACGCACCGAAGTTCGAAGTGGGAGATGACTCATGGGACACACATACGGAGAACAAGGATGTCTTCAATTAGCCTACATTTTATTTGTTCATGATATCTACTTGCTGCTTGAATCCATCAGTTTCATTACATCAGTATTTGCGGAGTGTTTACTAGTGTAAAGCACCTTGCAGACATTTTGAAAGTGGATACTGTTGCAAGTTTACCAAGTTTATTTTAAGCCAATTCTAGACATGTTTAGTGCCAAATTCCTAAAGTAATATATTTCTGTTCATGGTAGAGCAAAACATTCTTAGAACTGCTATAAAAACAAACAATTATGTTTTCAGGTATAAAAACAAACAATTATGTTTCCAGGTAATGTCAAATTTAGCAATAAAAATGTTAAGTTCAGAAACTACTGATTTACTAGGGGAAAAACAATCTCTTTTCCCACCCTACTTCCTTCACATTCCTTTCAACTGGTCAAGTTCTACTAAAGGAGTCAGCATTCTCAAAATGAGGTTTGAAGTAAGTATCACTTCTTTCCTTACTTTTATTTCAATTAAGTCAATGTGTATAAATTTAAAACAATTTTCAAATGCTTGATAAAACCCTACTCATGCTTGGGAATGAGTCTGCTTGAAAACATTAAGTTCTACACAATCAATTCTAATACTCGAAACGTCATCACTAAGTATTACAGGCCCATTTCCAAAGTTTTGGCTATACTGAAATTTCACTGATTATTGAATTTTTCATTAACAGACTTGGAAATATCGTATGAATATTTTCATCTCCAGCGTTATTTCTTGCAATGCATTTTTTCTACAGTATTCAAGTCATGAGAACTAATCTATACATAGTCCACATATAACATCCAGCAACCACAAAATATGATTACTAAACACAGAGGCAAGGAGTGATTACAAAAACGATTAAAGGTTAAAATGTTCTATGACATACTACGCAGGTGCATTATGAGGAAGGACATAGGTATTATTTGTTATACAAGGTTACTGGAGAACTGTACACTGGAAACACCCTTTTCTGGTAAAAATATGGAAATACTTATCAAAAAGTCACTAATACTTTGGCTCCTTAATTTCATGGCTACAATTTTTGTTATAGAGTTTGCCCACACATAGAGATGACATTCACTACTTGCATTTTTAGAACAGCAAGGCTTACATAAATGCCTGTTAATAATGTAGATTAATTATAAAATATATTACCAAAATGAAATACTATGCAGCTATAACCAGATATTAATTTGTTTTTAAGAAATAAGCTCCAAGGTTACATACCATAAGATTCCATTTATATAACATTCTAAAATGACAACAGTTTAGACATGAAGGACAGATTAGTGGTTGCTGGGTAAGGGGCAGATGCACAGGATGGAGATGTGTGCAGTTACAAAAAAAATACCAGATGGTACCAGGCAGGATCCTTGTGATATTGGAACTGTTCAGTATTTTGATTGGTGGTGGTAGATAAAGGAACCTACACAGGTCATAAAATTATACAGAACTGAAAACATACATACAGACATGAGAAACCTGAATAAAATTGGTAAATTGTATCAACGTGTGACTATATAATTATCTAAATTATTTTTAAAGTCGAAGTACAAAATTGCATCCTATAAGCTTCCATTTGCATAAAAAATATATGTGTTTTGCTAACCACAAACTACTTCTGTACGGACATATAGGAAATTGGGAACAGTGGTGGCCTTTTATGGGGGGACTGGAGAACTGGGGTCAAGACTGCAAAGGAAGTTTACCTTTTATTAAATTTGTATTATTTGAAAAAAAATTGTCAAATTGGCACTTTCAATTTAAAAAACCTTCAAAACTTTAACAATTAAGATTAACTTCCTCCAAATTAAAAACAAAAACTAAAATCCTTGGCTACTTAAGAATTAACTTCCCAAGCTTTGGTTAAGTTTCTGAGGAAGAATTGTTTGGAAAAATTTTTTAAAGAATCGAGCCACTCGGTTCTAACTACCTGTGGGTTTGATCTAAAGTGTTAATTGCTTCTGTATTTTAACGAAAAATTAGTAGACAAGAAGCAGGAAGGAAAGGAAATACAGTCTTAACCTCCTTCCTTCACACTTGGCACACAGAACTGAAAAAAGCAATATGGGCTTAGGAAACACTTCTCTTGAAAGTGTGCTCTCAACTACACAGGACATGCCAACTTAATGAGCATCCAAAGACTAACAGGTCCTATTTTTCCCATATTGCCTGTGTAGAGAGCCTTACCCACAACAGAAACCAAACTTTTCAAGTATGAAATTCATAATTAATCATTTGTTAATGTAAGAGGTTGGCTACTCTCAAAGAAGTGAAGTATCTTGTTGGTTAATAAGCTAACAAGATAAGGGGCATAGTAAAATTTTTAAAATGTCATTCTCTCATATTCAAAAACCTTGTTATAATAATTAACTAGCATTTTTCAGGTTTTTCTTTCTTGATCATTTTGGTCTTACTCAAACCTAGCTCATTTAACTAGACTAACGGTTAATATGCCTAAGGGTCGGCAAATGTTTCTTAAAGGGTAATAAAGTAAATATTTGAGGCTTTGTGAACCAGGAGACAAAATGGGTCTGTTGCAACTACTGAACTTCATCACTGTAACACAAAAGCCACAAAGTGTAGCTCACATAAAAAGAGGCGGCGGTGAACTAGATTTGGTACACAGATGGTCAACTCCTGAACTGCAGTCTTTTGTTGGTAAATTAAGCTTATAAGAAAATTTCTTCTTAAACTCTATGCATTAGAACTTCAATGTAATACAGCTTAACAGTTAATACCACAAATCACACTCAAAATCAAAGGAGACAATGCTTAAAAGTCTTGATACTCACACTACCAAAAATCATCTTTCAATCAGTAACATTATCTCAAACTGTATTTACTATGATACCTCCTCTTAGAGCTTCGCCACTTTGGAACCTAAAGGAAAGTGGTAATAATATTTCAGTGCTAGTGCATTGTATATTTTATTCAGCTGAAGTGCCAATAAACTGTCAGGTTTCATAACAGGATTTAGAAATGTAATCTTTTGAGATTAATTCTTCAATTTATAATTGGAGTACAGTGGAGCTGTGGTTCCAGCTTTATTGATAAAAACAAGCATTAGTAGTAAGACATATTATCCTTGCTTCCCCTCATTTTCATGGCCTTTAAAACAAAGGGTATAGGAACTGGAGAATCTCCAAGTGTCTTTCTGGGCCTAACTTTCTCTATCAGGATTAGTCTATACAAACAAAAGCGCTCACTGATCTTTGAACTGTTTCTGCCTTTGCTCAGGTTTTCCATACCCAAGGTACCCAGGCACATCAGATTTTGAATATCACAACTTTGGAACATTTCTATGTACTCTCAAAAAAATAGAAAACATTAGGAAAACTTATTACCCAAAGTAGATTGCTTTTCCTTAAAACAAAAGCTTTTTTTGTTTTTTTAATTTTATTTTAAATCATGTTTATTCTATTACAGTTGTCTCAATTTTTCCCCCTTTGCCCTCCTCCACCCATCCCACCCCGCCCCCCTCTCCCACAGTCAGTTCCCACTCTGTTGTCCATGTCCATGGGTCATTCATTACATGTTCTGTTTAGTCCCTTCTTCTTCTTTCCACCATTGTCCTTCTTCCCCATCCCCTCTGGTCACTTTCAGTCTGCTCCATGTTTCCTTGCCTGTGGTTTATTTTCAAAGTTACTAGAGGTTTTGAGTCTGTGAAACTGAATCCCTGACTCAGTTTTGCTGAACTACAACATCAAATCTTTATCAGCTATCACTAAGTCAGGGTGAATTAAGTGTAAAATGTGTGAACCATGAGAAAGAAGATATGTACTGAAAAGGGCTCCCTGTGGGTAACTGGGCTCAAATTAAAAAAAAAAAAAAAAGCACCTAGCAGCCATTTATACATAGGGGCCTCTCATGAAAACTGTACTTCATGGGAAAAAGCCTGCACTCATCTACCAGCTTCTGCACTGAACTGCCTGCCTGCACTATTTCTCCCATCTGAGCCAGTCCTCATAAAGGAGTTCTTGGAGTCCTATTTCAGCCAAAAGGACTGAGGCTTTCACCATCCAATTAGAGCTATAGCCACTCCCCATCATCTTCACCAACCAGAGTGGCTCCATTATGACCATTAGGAAGGACAGTACCCTTTGGACCCATCAAGATGTGAGGATTTGGGTGCCCTCATTTGCATGAGAATAGATCAATCAGGGATCAGGGTTGAGGGCTTTTGTCTATAGAAGTCAGCTCCCTGTGGCTCTGGGAGCACACTTTCCCTTTCCTCTGAAGGCTGTGTTTCCCCAGCTGAGGTACTGTTCAGAGCAGAGCAGAACAGTGCAGGCCAGAGCAGACTGGGAGGAAGCAGAGCAGACCAGCAAGGAGCAGAGCAGAACTGTCTAGTCAGATAGGGGCCTGGCCCCAGGGCTGCTTCACAGCCATGTTGTATCACAGTCTAATAGTTTTGTGGTGAAGTGTTCTTCACCATACCCCAAATCGAGCATTCCTGTTGGCATTGAATTGGTGCCAATCACCGTCAGTTGAAAAATGCATATGAGAAGAGACTAGTTAGAATATTTACTAGCCCCCTCTAAAAAAGCTTAATGAAGAAATATCTGGCTGGTTAATAAGCTTAACTAGAATGAGGGACATAACTAAAGGGATAATTTTCATCAGTCCTCTACATATGTACTGTATATTTCATGATCAAAACCACCATACAGTTCCAAAGCTTTCTTTGCTGCATGCTAATATGTGCAGCTCTCTTACCGCACACAAAATCATTAAGAATGTACAGATCAGGATTTCACTTGGGAAAAGAGAAGTAAGTCCCTGATGTTCCATTATTTTTACCTAAATAAATGTGTTTATACAGACAATCAAAATATGAAATACATCCCTGCTGATTAACAGAGTACTGTTATGCCACAAAGTAAATGGTTAGGAGGGTTAAAGACCATAGAAAATACAAAGCTAGTTTTTTTAATGTATCATTTCAGGGCTGTTAGAATACCAGCAAAGTAAATAATCATTCTTTTGCCATTTTAAAAGGCACTGCACACATTAAGTACACTAGCTTTTGTTCAAATGGAGAGAAAGCAATCCAAACAACTTATAAACTAGCAATCCAATTTGTTTCATCTAACAATTAAAAGATATCTACACTTTCTTAACATATATTCTCTAGGCCTGAAGCATATTTCAAGAACAACTAAAAGGACAGTCTGAGAATTAAATATGATGCAAAGGATTTTCAATTACTTTCAAATAGTTGGCTACTCTCACTTTTAAGACTCTTCTAAAACATTCCTCTAACAGAACCTCTAAGATATAATGAATATACCAAGGAATGTAAGTAGTTGTACTGGGCAGAAAAATAGCTGTTTTTCTTTTTTGTTTTCAGGTAGGGGTAAGAGATATGGGTGTGCACAGGGGGACTGGGAGTAAGGGATAATTAAGCAATTACTCCAGCTACTTTACACATGCTGTTATCAAGGGGGAAAAGACTTGTTTTCATTGGCAGGAGTCAGGAAAATAAGTCCCTTATACTACCAGCAATGGTACGGTATACTTTTGGATGTGCCAAATGATGTAACAGACTCCTTGATGGTTATCCATCTAAAAAAATTAAGTCTCAAATACAGAAGAGGTTAGAACCTCAGTTTTTACTTGAAGGCCTTTTCCGTAAAGCAAAAAAATTGCTCCTATTAGTATAAGAGACTAGAGTTGTACAATAGTACCAGTAGTACCTGTTCTTCATTTACATATATTAACATACAAAACCCTCGAGGACAAAAGAACAAGAACTAAAAGAATTTTTAAAAAATAGTTTTAAAAAAGACTAATGTTATTTCCCAATGGAAATAAAGCAATACAATTTTTAAAAATTCTGTGATGTTCTATTAAAATATCTCCCAAGATTACACGATGTCAACAGCTTGTATTTTGAACAGGTCACTCACTGATCAAGTCAAGAAAATAATACAAAGAGTCCTCTCACACATGGTCCTCCCATCTAGACCTCTAGTTGTTGAAACCATTCTGGGTCTAGGTCTAGAGACAGGAAATAGAAGATGTTGGAAACTGGTCCCTGGTATCTCAACTCCTTTCAAGTTATCTATATACACAGAGAGTAACTGCACGTAGTGATGAAAACCATTCAGGACTGACATCAGAGATCAGTACACTCTGAAAACAACTGCTTGGCTAACTGTGCTCACCTGAATAGCTGCAAATGCCAGTGCTGCCCAGATAACATGCATCATGATTTCTTGTAGCTTCTTCACAACTAGAGCTTCACACCCCTAAAACACACAAAGTAATCCTCATTAGATGTCTCTTTTAAAACTGAAAGCTACAAGGTCACATACTACTACTCATTGGTAGAAATGAATATGACAGAAACTGAAAGACAGAAAAAGACCATGCATTTAAAACTAATTAACAGTAAAATAAAATAGCTTTAAAGACAAGCAAAAAAGTGAAGATATAAACTACAGCATAGAAATACATAGAAATAATTGCATGGGGCCAGATGGGTACTAGGCTTTTGGGGGAGATCACTTTGTAAGCTAAGTAAATGACTAACCACTATACTATATACCTGAAACTAATATAATATTGTATGTTGACTGTAATTGACTTTTTAATTAAAAAAGACATAACTATAGTCTATGTATAATATAATTTAATTCCTAAAAAAAAAAGGGGGCTCAGAAGAATATTTGTACACCTGTTTTCACAGCAGCGTTATTCAAAATAGCCGAAAGGGGGAAGCAACCCAAATGTCCACCCACAAATGAATGGATAAGCAACATGTGGTCTATCTGTATAATAGGATTATCATTCAGCCTTAAAAAGAATGAAATTCTGACTCAATGCTACAACATGGATGAACCTGAAGACATTATGCTGAGTAAAAACATAAGCTAGGCACAATAGCACAAGTACCATAGGATTCCTTATATGCAGTACCTAAAAGAGTCAAGTTCATAGACATAGAAAGTAGAAGGGTGGTTGCCAGGGATTGAGGGAGGAGAGGATGGAGAGTTGTTATATAATGAGTATAAAGTTTCAGTGTCTAAGAAGGAAAAAGTTCTGGAGATGGGTGATGGTAAATATACTCAATACTACTGAGCTGTACACTTAAAAATGGTTAAGATGGCTTTAGAAAAAAGACAAGCAAAAGATGGCAGAAAAGAAGTGTCAGGTAGAGATGATTTATACAAAAAAACAGGTTACCAGGTGAGATTCAAGTTTTGGCCAAGAAACTGAACTTACCTCAGCATAGAGGTTGGCGGGGTGGGCCAGACTGCCATTACAGCTGCTGGCGGTCTCTCTACAGCAGCTTAGAGGGACACTCTGATTTTTCGTTTCTTTGAACCAGTCTGTATTTTCCCAGTCTGAGTAATTGTGAATTCCACAACAGTGCAGCTATTGTAAAAGAGAATAGAGATATTACTTCTCACAAAATACATATAATTGTGTTGAACTTTAGAGTTCTGTGCACTGCAGAGCTTTAAATTAGTCTAGTACAGTGATATCCAATAGAACTTTCTGCATTGATAAAAATGTTCTATATCTGTATCTCCAACATGGTAGCCACCAGCTACATAAGGCTATTGATCACTTAAAGTGTGGCTAGTGTGACTAAGGCACTGAATGTTTCATTTTAATTTAAATAGCCTCCTATTGATAGTGGCTCTAGAACCTCCATATGAAAGCACATTGCCCACAAGAGGTAGTTTATAGCTAAGAAAATTCTTCCTATCTTACATGTGAAATACATGGTTCTGAGTTAAATACTATTTCCAATGACAGAGTGTTTAAAATATTTTGTCTAATATGTCTGTGATTTTCTTTAAGATAATCTAGCAAAAGATATGTGAGGGTAATAAATGAAAACAAGATGGACAAAAAGCCAACAGTTCTGGAAGTGGGTTTATGGGCATAAAGATCTACCATACTATTCTCTCCATCTCCATGTATGTTTCAAATTGTCCATAATATTCTTTTTACAGTTTTATCAGTTACCTTTTCTGGTCTTGCTCTTAAGAAATATATGAAGAACTTCCCTCTCCTCTTAAGTCCATCTGGAGTCTCACCTTCCCTGTGACACATATCTTTCTTCCATTGTCACCTCTCTGACTAATTAATTTGGGGGGGGGAAATCAAGATGCATTTTATCTGATTTCAGCTAGGTGACAGAGGAAAACACTTTCCAAGGATGAAGATAAAAGTATTGAACACATCATGAAGTTAACCATGACTATGAAGGTACAAGGCTAATTTACATAGTACAGCAGAGTAAGTTTATGTTGACCCAACAGTGATTGGCCCTCAAAAACAAATTCGCCTCAAGAGAGCTCACCTGTCTCTGCACATAATCAATAGCCCGGCTAGCAGCATCAGGGCTGGTTCCATTGTAGGTCTTGTATACTTTCTGAATGCTGTGGTCAACCTCATTTTCCACCTGAATCAAAAGAAAGAATTCAGTTCCTCTAAAAGACTAGTAAAAGTAGGATTAGTCAAGGCTCTAGCTAAAATATCTAAATGGCATATTTGCAAAGTTGCCAGATATCTCTATAAATTTCTTATGAGAAAAAGTTTTCTCCCTTCTTGCCTCTATACAGATTCAGGTAAAAATTCAGACATTTTTATATCACATAGATTAAGCATTCAAAGAGAAGTCTGTGTGCAAGATGGCAGAGGCTAACAATCTACTCAAAGGGGAGAATCCAGTTGAGCCTTGAGATGGATGTCCTAAATTATAAATGGATTGCCTTCTTATTTTTTTAAAATAAGTTTTCAATGTAGTCTCAGAAGACCTCTTCATTTTCCTTTCCTAAAGGAGGTAAAAATAAAATTACTTTAAAAAACACAAGATACTTTTGGGATAAATTATTAGACTTGGCCAAATATGCAAAAGTAATCCAGTAAAAAAAAAAAAATCAGTCCTTAGAAATGACACTTTGCTGCCAATTACTAAAGTAACAAGAATGTGTTGCTTTAATCAATTTTGTACGTGATTCTCCTTACTCTTTTACTATGATTAGGCTTATTTGATAATTTTATCAGTGATGTCAGGAGACTATAATTGTGAACCAGGTCATAGGTTAGGGACATAATCCATTGCATTCTTTTTTTTTTTTTTTTTTTTTGTATAGCTGCCTGGTACCTTATGTATCAATGATTTAAATACTAAATTGGCATATCATGCCTTTGATTTAAAACCATACCTTACAATGACTCTATCATGCCTTTATAACATGGCTCTAAAGTTATGCCCTAATTAATTAATTTTTTAATCATTTTTTTATTGTTGTTCAAGTACAGTTGTCTCCATTTTCCAGCCACCATTTTCCCCTGCCCCACCGGTCCCTACCTCCTTCCCTCAATCATCCTTCCCCACTTTGTCTTTGTCCATGGGTCCTTTGTACATGTTCCTTGATGACCCTTCCCTTTCTTTTCGCCTGTTATCTCCCTCCCTCCTCCCCTGTGGTTACTGGCAGTTTGGGTTTTTTTTTTTTAATTTCAATGTTGCTAGTTATATTTTGTTTGCTTGTTTGTTTTGTTGATTAGGTTACACTTATAGGTGAGATCATTCGGTATTGTGTTTAGCCTTAAATGTTACTATAGGTGAAAAGCAGAAGCAGGCAAAATAGAAAGGAAATAGGAAAGAAAATGAAAGGAAATGGCCAGAAAAGAGGAAAGGGGGGCAAGAAGGGAGAGGCTGGAAAAAGCTTCCTTCGTATTTGAGTTGGCAGGATACCTTGTTCCTCAGGACAGGGGAGAAGTAGGATCACAACTCACAGTTGTCTTTTTCTATGTTCAGAACAAGGCATTTTTAAAAGAAGCAATGGAAAATAAAACATAAATCAGGAAATTTGTATTTCCTCTCTCATGCAGAGAATCTATGGGATGAGGAAACTGGAATAAACTTCTCAGCTGATCAATTATTCATCTATAGCTCATTCAAAGTAATTTTTCAAAAGATTTATTTATTTATTTATTTATAGTGAGAGGGGAAAGGAGGGAGAAAGAGAAGGAGAAAAATATTAATGTGTGAAACATCAATCACTTGCCTCTCACATGCCTCCAACTGGAGGCTTGGCCCGCAACCCAGGGAACCAACTAAGACATGCTGGCCAGGGCCATTCAAGGTAAATTTACAGAAAACTAAACAATTACAAACTAGAACAGTAGTAGAATTAACAATTGTGCTATATAAAATCAGACTAGAAATCTTGACACATAATTTCTAATGAACTTTAGATTTTTAAAGCAGTGGCTGAGCTGAAGGCAAAAGAAAATGCTTATTTTGATAAAAAATGTGTTCTATTTCACTTGAAATGAACCACTTTTTAAAACATATGAATCATAGTAGACAACATACCTTTGCTCTGTAAACGTATCCCAAAACCACTACAACCACTTCTGTGACAAAAACTAAGAGTAGGATGATGACAAACTGCAAGGAAACATTGTCAAAAATTAAATACAAATGAAGAAACAGCAATAAATACTCTCTTGGTAAAAAACAATTATCTAAAATAACTGCTAGAAGTTTAAGACAAGTGCTAATTCTGTTCCAATTATAAGAGCCAGTCAATGGAGTTTCATGCTCAATTCAAAGCAAGCAACATAAATGAAATATTCCCATATTTTATGATAACACTTGTGGTCTATGAAGTGCTAACTTACCGTGGCCAGTCCACAGTGGCTTTCACGGATTGTGGCACAGCAGCCAATTAGTCCAATAATGAAAAGCAAAGCTCCTACAGCTATGATCACTACAGCAGGGATGAGAGTGTACACGTCTTCAAAGAAGTGGTCATAATCATCATAAGTGATGAATACATATGCTCCCACATAGCATAAAATGCCAGCTGCCCCCTGTAGGAACAAGGTCAGAATCCTGGTAAATCTCTCAGGCCTGCTGGTAGAATACTTCTACTATTTCTTACTAGGTTCTAATTCAGTGAGATTTCCCATCACTTTTAAATCTATCTGTACCCTTTTTTCAGAAGTTGAAAAGTCTCCTATTACTCATTAGTAAGAACATTTCTTTACTAAAGTCGAAAAGTCTTCAGAACTCCCATCACCTTTTCAATAATTGCTGGTTCAGTTAGGACCAAAAAACCATGAATTCAGTAATACTGATGGTAAGAATGAATCTCACAAACACTCCAAAAGTGATCTGTAGCTCAATTACAGTCCAATACAAATCAGTGGGGTGCACACCCCAGTAGCCCCCCTCAACAAATGAGGAAATTAGATTTTGTGTGGCAGGGCGAGCGAACCCAGGCAATCTGACTCCAAAATCTGCAGTTATAACCTCTATCCACCCCGTTGGGGAAAGAAAATATTTTAATAATTAATAAACATGATACCCATTTCCAAAAAACTTGCTGACCTAGTTGAACCTGTGAAATGGTAAAGCCAGAAGACTCAATTATAACAAACTTTGCAAACCCTCAGTCCTATTTAGTGTTTAGAATAGTGCTTCTCAAACTAACGTGACTAGTAATCAGCTGAGGATCTTATTAAACTGCAGACTGATTCAGTCAGTAGGTCTAGGGTTGGGGCCTGAGATTCTGCACTTCCAAGAAGTCCCGAGGGCATGCTGATGCTACTTATTCTGGGACTACAGTTTGACTAACAAGGTTATAGGGCACCTAAAGGGAAAATGATGCAGCAAGTCATGGAACAGATAAGGCCTCATCTCAGCTGCTGCTCCAGCCACCATTATTCAGCTGCAGAGTTTTACTTGAATCCTCCTCTAGCACTGTCGACTTTGCTATCACTATGTACCAGCTCAATGCTGACAGCCCAATGCCACTCACTTGTAGGTGAGTGAGCAAATACACATAAATCATTAATCTTCAAACCACAAAACAGCTTCCACAATGATGCTCGAAAATAATTCCTCTCAAACTGAAAGCTTAGTTTACTTCTTAAGTCTATGGAACCAGTAAGCTTGGACATTATCAGTAAATTTTCTTATATTAGACCATTAGAATCATTGTCAGATTTGGTAGAAAAAGGCTAAATTTATGTAAAGTTAAGAAAGCAACTTTTTTTAAAGGTAACATGGACTTTGTTTGAAGACAACCAGAATAATGGAGGCAATTTTTTTAAAAATATATCATTTTTAGAGGTTCCAGTCAAGATAGTGGAATAGGTAGACACCATGACCACATCAAAATTACTAAATTATAGATCAACATAAAGAACCATCTGAAGACTAGCTGAACAGATGTCCTATAACCAAAGATATAAAGAAGACATGTTGAGACTGGTATAAGGGGCAGAGACACAAAATGGGCTAGGCCCACACTCACAGGAGTCAGTTGAGAGTCAGGAGGGATATCTTAGCTGAAGAGGTGCCCCCGGAGAAGCCAGGAGTCCCAGCCCCGCCTAGGCTCCCAAGCCTGGAGCACAAGTGCTGGGAAGAGGAGCTCCCACAACATCCGGTGGTAAAAATCAGCAGGGATTCTGTCCCGCTGGGTAAAGGCTGGAAACCCAAGTATCCTCTTAAAGGGACTGCACACAAATCACTGCTCGCTGGCATTCACCTTGGCCTCTGGTTTAGAGGACAGCAGCTCTGGAGGCACCAGAGACATACACAGAGAAAGTGACCTGTGTGGCTCAGGGCCAGGGCTAGAGGGATGGCTGCCACTGTCCCTGTGTTTAGCCCACCTCCTACGTGGCCAACAAGTACCATCTTTCCTGTATTGAGCTCTCCCTCCACATAGCCAAATCTGAATCTCCATTAGCCAGGTGAACGCCACTCGACCCATCCTGACAACTCTCTTGAGACTCTGTCCCACCACAAGCTCCACAGGCCACAGGAAAGTGGCAGTTGGCCTTGGTGTAGCCTCAGACTTTGGCTGACTGGCATCAGGCGTGGCACTGGCACCAAATCTAAATCTGCATCAACTTGGTGAACTCACCATACCCTGCTGATTCCCTGAGACCTCACCCAACTCGTGTATGCCCAAGGCTCTTTCAGATGCTGAGTCTTCCAGACAAGCCAGCAGCTAGTGGCAGGTTTTAGTGTACATTGGACCTTCTGCTGACTTGCCACAGGCCTCAGTCTGGTACCAGCCAGCATTGATTCACAGTGTAGCCCCTCCCACATACATTTGGAATGAGCAGAGGCAGCGAACAACTGTGGATCACTTTGTGGCTTCTCACAAGTAACCCTAGGCTGGTCACAAATGGTATCTGACACTGGCCTGCACCAAAGCCCCTTCCAAGAGGCCCCAGAAACAACACATACAGTGGCCAGCTTCAAATCACAAGAGAGTACCCCCAACTAGCTCCACAAGTGACACAGCCAAAGGGTGGTCTCAGCAAGCACCATTCTTTGGGGTCAACTTTCACACAGTATCTTGTACATTGTAGCCATAAAATGACTTCATAGCCAGTCAGCCTGAGGGTCACCACCACCCACTAACGTGCCAAAAGCAATCAAGGCTCAACTACAACAGGAGGGCACATAAAATCCACACAAGGGACACTCCTAGAGCACCTGGCTCAGGTAAACAGGAAGACTGAACCACAAGGCTCCACAGGAGAGCTACTACATAGAGAACCCTGACAAGACTAGGAGACATAGCAGATCTACCCAATACATACAAACACAGAGAGACAGCCAAAATGAGGAGACAAAAACATGCCCCAAATGGAAGAACAGAAGAAATCCCCAGGAAGAAAAATTAAATAAAATAGAAGCAAGTAATCTACCAGAGAGAGTTCAAAACAATGGTTATAAAGATATTCAAGGAACTTAATGAGAACTTCAACAAAGAGAAAATGAGCATTAAAAAAAGGACATAGAGACCATTAAAAAGATACAGTCAGAAATGGAAAATACAGTAACTGAAATAAAGAACACACCGGAAGTAATTAATAGCAGATTAGATGAAGAGGATCATATTAGTGTTTTGGAAAACAAGGTAGCAGTTAACACCCAATCAGAACAGCAATAAGAAAAAAAAAATTTTAATGAGGATAGCTTAAAGGACCTCTGGGACATCATCAAGTATAAAAACATTGACATCACAGGTCTACCAGAAGGAAAAGAGAGAAAGCAAGGGATTTAGAACCTATCTGAAGAAATAATGAATGAAAACTTCCATATGCTGGGGAAAGAAATAGACATACAAATGCAAGAAGTACAGAGAGTTCCAAAGAAGGTGAATCCAATAGGCCCACACCAAGACACATTATAATTAAAATGACAAAAAAATTAAAGACAACCCTGGCTGGAGTGGCTCAGTGGATTGATTGTAGGCCTGCAAACCATAGGGTCACTGGTTCAATTCCCAGTCAGAGCACATGCTTGGGTTGCAGGCCAGATCCCTGGCTGGGGGCATGTGAGAGGCAACCAATCACACATTAACGTCTCGCTCCCTCTTTTTCTCCCTCCCTCCCCCTGTCACTAAAAATAAATAAATAAAATATTTTTTAAAAATTAAACACAAACAGAGAGTCTTAAAAAGCAGCAAGAGAAAAACAGTTACCTATAAGGAAACTCCAGTAAGACTGCCAGCTCATTTCTCAACAGAAACTTTCAAGGCCAGAAGGGACAGGTACAAAATATTGACAAAGTAACAAAGACTACTCTAATCAGCAAGATTATCATTAAAATTGAAACAGAAATAAAGAGCTTCCCAGACAAGAAAAAGCTAAGGATTATGTCACCAATGAACCAGTATTACAAGTAATGTTAAAGAAGTTTTTTTTTTTAAAGGGAGGGGAGAGGAACAAATATAAATAATAAAACGGAAATAACTATGTACCTATTCTTTTGATGTAAATGCATTAAATCTGCCAATCAAAAGACATAGGGTAGTTGAATGGATAAGAAAACAGGAACACATATGCTTTCAACAAGAGACCTACTTCAGATCGAAAGACATACACACAGCCTAAAAGTAGAAGAATGGAAAAGATACTTCATGCAATAGACTTTTTATAGTAAGAGAAAAAGAGGTACATTAAATAATGATAATTTTGGGCCAATCCAACAAGAGAATATACACCTTTTTAAGACTTATCTACCCAACCTGGTAGCACCTAAATATAAAAAGCAAATGCTGATGGACATAAACAAAGAGATAGATACTAATACAGTCAGAGAAGTTTGACAGCACTGGCTAGGACTTCAAAAGAGAAAATCAACATAAAAATAGCAGCCTTAATGATACATTAGACTGCTAGATGAATTTAATTGATGTTTTCAGAGCATTCATCCCCAAAAAGCAGAACATACATTCTTTTCAAGTGCATACGGAATATTTTCCAGGACGGCACACATTAGGACAAAAAAATAAGTCTCCTCAAATTTAAGAACACTGAAATCATATTAAGCATATTCTCTAAACCCAATGATATGAAACTAGAAACTAACTACAATGAAAAAAACTAAAAAACACACAAACACATAAGGTAAATAACATGGTACTGAACAAGTAAATGGTTAACAATGAGATTAATGAAGAAATCAAAAGATGCCTTGAGACAAATGAAAATGAAAACACAACAACAGAAAACCCATGGGACAGAGCATTCATGACAATTCCATTCCTACCTAGAGAACAAGAAAAGTCTCAAACCATCTAACTTTGCACCTAAATGACTAGAAAAAGAACAACAAACGAAGCCCAAACTGAGTAGTAGAAAGGATATGAACAAGACCAAAGTGGAAATAAACAAAAATTGATTTTAAAATAACAATACAAAATATCAATGAAACCCAGAGCTGGTTCCTTGAAAAGATAAACAAGATTGATAAACCTTTAACCAGACTCACTAGAGAGAGAGAACACACACAAATAAAATCAGAAGTGAAAGAGAAGTAACAACTGACACAACAGAAATACAAG